GTATGTTATATACATGCAGCCCACACGTTCGTGTTATGCAGTAGATCAAAACATTCTACTCTATTGAGTCTTGAACTATGTAATTTTAACAAAGTTGTATTCTAGTTGAAATTATATTGAAAACTTATCTATGTATTAATTGTTACATACTGATACATGTAGCTGACACAAGTTCATGTTATCGATCAAATTTTCCTATTAGAGATAAAAAGTTTTACTTTATAAAGCATAAAAGTATGTCATTTTACCTAAGTCATTATGTTGTAGTTCAAATTATTTTGTTCAAAAATCATAAACAACTAAGAAATAGTACTTTGTATTATCACATTGTTACTTTATTAAAACGTTAGTAAATTGGAAATTTGTCTAGTCATGCACCTCTTAGAAATCGACTTGTGCTTTTGGTACCTCACAATACTGCAATTATTAAATCCTCATTTAAGAGCTACCCGAAATCCCCCTCCCCCACAAACCGACCTCAATCACACTTTTCCAATGGCAATTTCAGTTTCCATACTAGCAATTTCGAACGCACTTCATTAATCCCTGATTACTCCTAGTATATTATGTAAATTTGACGTAAAACAGATCTTGCCTACTGACTTACATGTTTTTCTTGGCAATGTGTTAAATGAAACTTTGCTGGCTGGCTCATAACTTACTTCTGCTACCGCTGGCTGGCAAACACCGAATTCCGTTTCACTCTGGCTGGGATTGCGTAATTTTTGTTTTTTTTAACCTTGCTGGCTGGCAAAAAACCGTCAAACATGATTGCTGGCTGGGATTTTTATTTTCTGAAAGTCTTGCTGGCTACCAGTGAAGAGCGGGTATTTTTTTCCCAGGAAAGTTAAATATTAACATGGGTTGACGTAAAAGCACTTTACTAGCGTTTACGACATCGTATAATCAATTTTGCGAAAAATGTTCGTTGGGTACTCCTGCAAACACAGCGCTGAGTGACTTTCCAAACGTGGAGGCTAAAATCGAACAGCAAAGAAACTGTTTAAAACACGTAGTCGGTAGGATAGATGTCTTAGCAATTTCCCACCGACTGGCTTTGGAAAAGTTCTTATTTTCCAGCTTTTTCCTCGAATAAAGCGTGCGTTGGAATGAAGAAAGGATAGAATGCCATTTACGATTGTTGTGGTAACTCCGTTGATTACCGTCATGGAAGACCAAGTGGAATATTTGAACAAAATCGGAGTAGCGGCGGCAATGATGGGAGGAGATATGGATGAAGCCGTTAAAAGTGGAAGCTGTGAAATTGTTTACTGAAGTGCCAAATCGTGGTTGTCTAATGAATGGACAAAAGGACTTCAAAAAGGAAAGCTTGGAAAGCAAGTTACAGCTATCGCTATTGACGAGGTCCACTCAATCACCGAATAGTAAATTTTCCCTTCAATTGTTGTGCATTTTCATTGCTTGAGTTAACGATCTGTATTGAAACGGCTTTCTATCGAAATGAGCGATATTTGTTTGTCACTTGATTCATAATTTTTTTGTCACGTACACGCTGAAATCATGTTTTAAAGTCGTAAATAAATTACTTCTCCCGCTCTCTCTTTGTCTGAAAGTCTTACATTAGGTTTTTAGTACGATTATATAAACATAATATTAATTTTTGATCTGAGAAATCTTGATTTATTCGTAAGAAAAATAATAAATGTATGGAGCTGTAACATCAGTCTTGATTGACAAGTGAAGACCACCTACAGCTGATGCGGTCTGACTGGGCGCAAGAGTCTATTTAAAGCAAATCTAACAGGCGTTCCCTCTCTCACCTCTCCTCCTCCCTCGCTTTTATTTTTTCGCGCTCCTTTTTACTTCGCACCGCTCCCCACTATCTGAACGCCTGGAACAGGCTAACCTCCCTTACTTAGTATTACTTTTGTTCCAAGTGCCTTTTAGGTATATGTTTGTAATATTCTAGAGGGTACTAGTAAGGCGAATTTTTTTTTCCCGACACATCAATTATAGAGATGGGTTTTGTATAAATAAGAATATTTTAAAGAACACTGATAATATCACCCGCAAGAAATGGACTTAGAATTGTTAAAAGGACATTGAAATAATTGAGCGTGGATCTTTGTTGTATATTTGGACGAATTGTGCACATTTGTTCGCGATATTATACTTGATATGGAGAAGATGCGATCAACAGGAGTGTGAAAGAGCTCTTGCAGCCTGACAATGGGATTTCGTTCAGCGAAAAGAATAAGCCAAAGAGCCTTATAATCACTGCAAGAAAACGGTCCTCGAGTTGTTAAAGCGACATTGAGGAGTATCTATTGAGGTCTATTCAGTTATTTGGACGAATCCTTTCGACCATTTGTCTTCGTATGCAAACAGGGAATGAATTAATGTTGTGTCAACTAGAAGCACAGATTTTAGAACCAACAAGCGTTACGCTATTTTGCTTGAATTCTTAGGTGATCTTTGCCTTAAAGTAGGCTTTTGTTTGTCGGTGATTCCATTTAGCAGTGCTATTAATGTAATTTCTACAAGAATTGCTGCGCTGGTATAAACAAGTCTCTAGAACATTCAGGTGGAGAAAGGCAATCGGATACTTTGACTGCGTTTAAATTTAAACTAGGGTATCTAAAAGATAGTAATGCTGCGGCACATTCTGTTGATACTGGCATTAGTTAGGCAGTGAGACTTAAAAGAATCAAAAATAACATTGAATGTCCTATTTACATGTTGGAAAGTACTAGAATAATTACTATCAGTCTATAGAAAGAACTCGTGGGAACGTTGTTTAGAAAATGGTTAGAAAGTGGTTATCAACTCTGGTTTTCCCACAGTAAATTGTAGGAAATAATAGAAATTCAGATTGTTTATCCATATATTTAATATACGGTGCACGATATTTTCTCTGGAAACACAATACTTTTCTTGCTGTTTGTTGCACTTTATTAAGTAACAGTTATTTAGCTATATATTTATAGAAAACAACAACACAAAGAAACGGAAAAAAAAAAGGAAGTTGGAATTAATAATTCGGTAGGACTCAAACGCAGCACCTTCGACTCGACTCGACTACACCTAACCACTACACCACAGAAACTGATTACGTCATTATTGGTAAAAGTCTTTCATTTTATTCCTTTTCCATGAAACTTCCGCCGGCAAGACATCGCCGGCCGCATTAACCAAGCTATTAACAGTGAAAAAACAATGTAAACGCATATTCCATGGCAATGAATGAATGAAAGAACATAATTATGCTTTTCAAAACGCCGATACACGTCCTCGTCTGCAAAGTAGGACACAAAACATATGTTTTGTTATCTCGATTTCTGCTGTTATTTTGAAGCGAATGGTCAAAATCACATCCATTTTCGGCTCATACAGCTTCTTAAGAATAGCATTGCATGACATTTTCTCACTTTCACATCACCTTCTAGCAAGCTGGAATTTGTATATCCCCCGTGTTGCGGAGTCGAAGAGCAAATGCTCATCTTCTCGTCAGGTTTAACACCTGGACGAGTCAAAGGCTCTTGAATTGAAATCCAATCCCCAAGTTAACCATCGTACCCATCTGAAAGACTCCTGCGTGTCTTAAAATTTGGTAAGACCTCTAACCGTGCGGTAGAAAATTTGCCACAAAGAAAACTCAGCGAACAATGCACAGGCTCACCCACCGAACTTCCAGTTGTTCGTGGCGCAATGCACTCTGGTAAAATGCAATGCATTGTGGTAAAAAGTGTGGTTAAATGCAATGCATTGTGGTAAAAAGTGATGAATTCGAGAATTCGTTGCCCCTTATATATTTCCTTTAAATCCTGATTATGTTGCTGCTCGCTCCCTTCGGTCGCTCCGCAGCAATTACTTGGCTAGGTCAGAGCACGTACTGCTTTGAGCTTAATCCGTTTTACATGTATTAAAATAATTTTTAGCTCGTGTTTATCATGAGCGCGTTCTAAAGCAGTTCAATTTAGCCATAAACGCCTGTATTCTGTATTCAATATAGTCCGTACTGCATATACTAACCGTTACGTACTCATCATATGGAAACAAAACTCATGTATGTAAAACTTGGCTATTTTACAAGAACGTGCACTGTCGTTCGGAAAGTGTTTGACAGTCACATGAGAAAGCAAACTATTTTACAACTAAAAAGCGTTAATAGTTGCTTTTAAAAGTGATCTTTGCTTTGTAAGTAGAAATGCTGTGCTGATAAAAAGTTTCTAGAATATTCAGGTACACAGTCCCACTACACATGCAATCGGATACTTCGAGTCACGCTGCATTTTGGCAAGTCCGTACACAATGAACCGTTCAAAAAGATTTATATGTTTTGCTTTGATTATTGAACTGTCTTTTCTACACTAATTCAATTCATCCATGAGCTTGCTCCTAGGAACCTTTGACTGATTCCCTCCTTCCTTGGAGTTATGTTTTTAGCATCATTTTTCAGAAATAATTAAGTTTTTCTTTGTCTTTTGACCTCTGCAATCGCAACTACCGAGGGTAAAATAATGTATCCATATTTGTGTGCAATTTCCTCCTTGAAATCTGATACCGCACACTAGTTTAATTCGTACATTAAACACACTTCATTTGTTTGGCGTGCTAGGTTAGCTTAAGTTTGACAAAACAAACCCTAGTGTGTCTTTTTTTGCTACAAAAATTAAATACACGTAGATCCGTGACTTAAGACACGCTTAGCATGATGTACTAGCGCGTTGAAGCATGCTGTCATCTTTAGCATCAAAATCCTGTAGTGGGTCACGTATGTTAAAATAGACATACGTCACCGAGCTTCATTCAGTTATGTTATGCAACATGTATTGCTGACTTCAATACGATTGACTACAACAAAACCCTGGCCTATTTACGCTTGCAGTGTCCAAGCTAAATAGTGACCACGTACTTGTATTCTCAACTACTGATCTTACCTTACCGCCAAAATGCCGACTCACTCAAATCGACATGAGCATTATGTTTCCTGCGAGGTCATATCATCAAGCTCTGGCAATGTTAATGGAAGAAGCTGGAAAGGAGTAAAGATAGCATTTGTAAACCGTTCGGTGCCCCTTCTTTGGGCTAATCTGTTCTTTGCTACTGTTTTGCTAAGTGCTGAAGTTGGTCATAAAGTGGTCTTACCTTTGTGGGTTGACTCCGCAAATGGCACCGTCACTGGCGCGACGATGAATCCTTATTTTGCTTTATCGTTCTCGTCTATAGCTTTCTTTATACTTTTTGGACTTGGAACAATGTTCATTCGAATATTTTGGCCCGGAGATATAGGCGAAACAGAAAAGCGTTTTCCTCGTCTTCTGCTGTTTTTAGTTGGAAGTTGTGATGCCCTGAATGGCGTGCTTATTGTTTTTGCAAGCAAAGGATCGAGGACACCTCCTTATCTTCAGGCAATTCTGGGAAACTTTCTTATTCCACTGACTGTTTTATTTAGGTGAGTGCGTTCAAATCGGAGTTCACATTTTATTTTTTACAAATACATTGATTGAACGCTTGCTACTTTTGATACATCTAGTACAGCTAGTAACATTGCGTGACGTAGCGAGTAAATGGGTTTAATCCCCCTTATCTTGGCTTAGTATCGAGGAAAAAAAGAAATAAAATAAACTTGATTGTGCTCTATTTTGTGTTTCTGTGTCTTATTGAAGCGATCTGGGTTTGTTTTGTGATCCTATCACAACCTTCAGTTTCCCACATGAACCCTGTAAATCGCCACGTAACGCAATATTACGCGCCCGTCTAGATGTACAGTAGCACCGCGGTAACTCGAACTCCCCGCTAACTTAAACTAAGTCCCATTTCCCTTGCGTGTGACCCTACTTTGCAGTCACTTTTGCTCGGATAACTCGACTTCACCGCTAACTCCAACTAAATCTCGTTTCCCTTGATCAAAATTTACCTCGATAACTCGAATTCTGGTTCTTGGAACTCACCACGAATGCCATTCCATTACCTTTTCTTATCGTGCAATCGGTAAGATCCCTAAAACTAGCACTTTTAATAAGTGCAACAAACAGTTCACGTATTTGACAATCATTTCCCGGTATTAACATAAAATGCATAATCTTGTTACAATTTCTGATGAGATAAGTTTAATTTGTACTGAAATATCAGTAAACTATTAATAATTAAAACATGGAAAATTGAAGATTCAATCGACCCCAATAACTCGAACCCTCGCTTACTCGAACTGTTTTTCGTTTCCCTTCACAGTTAAAGTTACCGGGGTTCTACTTCATATTTAATTTTTATCAAAATATCACGCTCTGATTTGAACACCAACTTGTTCCGAAAAAACTGTCACGTTACTGTACAGTACAAGGAAGATGAATACGCGAAAAAAATATCACGGCTACTAAGTAAAATCCTTAATTGTTTCACCGTTTTTTTCGGTCGAAGGAGGACAAAAATAAAGCCCTCAGCGACTGGAGCGAGCCAATGTTACTACAGCTCCACAGTTTCTACATATTTTTGCCGTTCGTTATCTGTGGAAAATGTATGTAACGGAATAAATACCAAGTCGTTACACACTGCGACAAGCGACAACGTACCGAATGTCCTCAAAGCACTTTTCCGGTTTCTGCGGCTTACGCAATCTCTTTTCCAGGGTCTCCTCGGACTTTTTGCGCACACACGACATAGGATATTCTTCAAATGGGCATTATTTGTTCATAATGGCCCACTTCATACAAAATTTTTGACATCCCACAGACAACCCCTGAAAGAAGAAAAGAATGGTCAGCATCAAATTTCTCCTTGTCATAACAACGCTTTTTAAAACAAAGTGGTCATAAGAAACGAACTGAGGACACGCACACATGGGGCTAAATATATTCAATAATGTAACATCTCCCCATTCTCTCGGAAATTTATAGGGGTAACAAATGAGAATGTATCCTCACTATCTTTTGGTTTTCCAACGAAATAACCCACGAGGGTTGTTGGGAGAACAAGAGCAAAGTTTACAAGCCTTTCGAGATGGTAGACTGTTCACAGTCCCCTATTTTTCCGTGTGATCGTCGAGATCGAGCGCGTCTTACCGTTAATGGCGGCCATCTTGATTTTCAGTCGTACCGAGTCTAACCTGGGGAAGAGTATCAAATCTACTTAGGGCTATAATCCCCGACGCCCGCCCCCTCGGTACGACTGAAAATCAAGATGGCCGCCATTAACGGTAAGACGCGCTCGATCTCGACGATCACACGGAAAAATAGGGGACTGGGAACAGTCTATCGAGATGGTGGCGTGGGTCAATTAATAATGGTAATAGGACTGAGTGGAGTCCAATTCGGTCTGTAATCATACTCCAGTGATTAACAAAATACCGATTTGTTTAATCCACAGGCGGCCCAGACGTAGTATGTGTCACTGAATGAATATATTAATATTCACATGGACAAATTAATGCGATGAGTCGTCGAAACTCCCATGGACCTAAAATAGTCCAACAGTCAAAATATAACAAAACAAAGCTAAGATACCTTCAACTGAACGTATCCTTGTCTTTCCTGGCCGGTTTAAGTGGCATTTTGTTGAGTTTTGCAATTGTAGGTACTATCCACTAAAGAAGAATTAAAGGCTGGCTACAAAACAAACAGACCATCTCCACGCGCCTTCACACGAAGCGCTATAAATTCGAGAATAATCGACGAATCCGCTCCAAATAACCATCGGCTAATCTGCAAGTAACGTGTGCTCCTGCTTCTGGCTTGCTTGCTCCACAAAACCCATCGCAACTGCACAATAATTGCTCGCTCATCAACAACCACTGTTGACCTTCACGCTTCGATATGACCGCAAACGACCAGGTTTAATACGCGACGTGAATATTCAAGCTTAGCGACCGCGTTCGCGCAACAATGCAGCACTTGCTATGGGAGGGATGGTACTATTGCTTCTAGGTCAATCGACTGACCGAAGGTTCGCTGCGTTAGTTTTGACCAGAAAACAAAAGGCGATCGCGGGACCGTCCGTAAGTTTTCAACAGGGCAGCCCTGGTATTCAAGTTCGAATTTTTCTAACGTTCGCTGTCTCAGCTGCTGTCACATTGTTCGTCCGCCTTATTTGCTTAGATTAACAACGTCTTACTCCATAATATGTTGTCCAAACTGGTGAAGGAGGACGAGAATTTTCCGCCCAGCAAAAAGGCAAAATCTGGCCCCCGCTATGAAGCTGAATAGAAGATACAGCTGAAGATATCGTAAAGTAAAATTTATGTGCGCGATATCTCTTTTTATTATTATTATTATTATTCTCAAAACTCAGGGGCACCCAACGATGATTTGCCCCTAAATGCATTGAAAACACATTTAAGGCTGTCCAGAGTACTTTTAACCGAAAAATGCATTCTAAACAGCGCTTACATCAATTTAGTCAGGAGGGCTAAAAGCGAAGCTAAAGATTTATAGTTTGCTCATACTAAATATAAAATATATCGTGTAATGCTAAGCGGAGAAGGCAACGAGACAGGGCCACCCAACGACTGTTTCCTCAAATACTTTCAATTGAAAACACTTTTGTAGCTATTCATAAAGTACATTTAGCTCTATAGAAATGCATTCTAAGTGGCGCTATAAAATTTGCATCTCAGTGTTCGGCGCCCGGCCATTCTAGAGGAACTTGAGTCTTTTCGAAATTACGAGGAATTCAGAATTATTTTCCCGAAAATTTTAGATGCAATTTAACGTATTACGAAGGAGATAATTTTTCAGATACCTTCTTTCATCACTTTTTTGAATCCGAAAATTTTAGGATTCCATTTTACTCTCTACGAAAAATAGCCTAACCCGGTGAGTGAAATGTGAAAAATTAAAAGTTGGATGCCCTTGACCAGAGCTGTGAAAAACAACAATAGGTCTAATTGCAGCACACTTTCTTGTACATTTCCTTGCCGTTGATTTGCATGACTGCAACGTGAAACGTCCAGAAAACTTCCTGGTTTTCACTTTTTATGGAGAAAATGTGGTACATGTTCTTGTTCACTTTTTCCACTGCCCAGCCACTGCCGCTCATTTTTTTTAGCTCCGCTATAAGATTCGTATCTGTTCGGTGCTCCTAGGGCAAATTGGATCTTTTTAAAAATTACAAGGGCTTCAATATTATTTTCCCGATTGATTGACCTAGAAGCAATAGTACCATCCCTCCCATAGCAAGTGCTGCATTGTTGCACGAACGCGGTCGCTAAGCTTGAATATTCACGTCGCGTATTAAACCTGGTCGTTTGCGGTCATATCGAAGCGTGAAGGTCAACAGTGGTTGTTGATGAGCGAGCAATTATTGTGCAGTTGCGATGGGTTTTGTGGAGCAAGCGAGCCAGAAGCAGGAGCACACGTTACCTGCAGATTAGCCGATGGTTATTTGGAGCGGATTCGTCGATTATTCTCGAATTTATAGCGCTTCGTGTGAAGGCGCGTGGAGATGGCCTGTTTGTTTTGTAGCCAGCCTTTAATTCTTCTTTAGTGGATAGTACCTACAATTGCAAAACTCAACAAAATGCCACTTAAACCGGCCAGGAAAGACAAGGATACGTTCAGTTGAAGGTATCTTAGCTTTGTTTTGTTATATTTTGACTTTTGGACTATTTTAGTCCATGGGAGTTTCGACGACTCATCGCATTAATTTGTCCATGTGAATATTAATATATTCATTCAGTGACACATACTACGTCTGGGCCGCCTGTGGAAAATACAAACGAAATGTGCTCATGCCTCCTGGGCATCCTATAATACTCCTTAAATCGAATTAATTCAATATGGCCGCCGTATCGGTAAAAAGGTCTGTTACTTACGCATGACTCGTACTGTCCTATTAGGGATGGACCATTACTGACGGAGGGTTGGGGATTTTAAGAGATGCAAGATATTTTTTCGTACATGTAAGGTGGAAATCTTTTTTTTTTTTACCCGATGGCTGGAATTTTTTTTTTTTTTTCAGTAGGTGAAACTTTCGTATGTTTCATATGTCACATTTATACTGAATAATAACAATAATTTAATACGTTAATTAAATTCATAATAGACTAGAAAGCTAAGTTGGGGCGGTTCCTTTGACGCGATGAATAAAGTAAAACAAAGATGTATTACAACAATATTCTTTGTCGGGTTCGAAGGAACTGATGACTGGCAACACATATTAAATCTATAATAAACGGTGGTTCAGTTATTAAATGTCACACAATCAAGATGTGGCTAAGATATTTAACGGTCTAGTACTAGGAGGAAAAATCAAACTAGTCCAGAATAGTTGGCCTGTAATTTCAGTGTTCGTAAAAGATCTAGAACATACTCACCTGACTGGGGCCCGCATGACGCAGGACTTTGGTAGAGGAAGAATGTCTGGGTTGTTCATTTTAATTTATGTCAACAAAGAAAGTCAGTGTAATGCTAATTGTTGTTGTGGAAAGCACATATCTTCACTGCAAAGAGGTTTGTGAATATGTGTAGTATTAATACGTAGGAGAACTTTCATTCCAAAAAGTTCCTAGCTCTTTGGTCAGTAAATATTTGTGAATAATACATGTAAAATGTTGAACTCTTCAATTTCAGTGTTTAGCCTACAACTGTTTTAAATCACGTTTTATTCCCAATCTGGACTTGTAATTCACTTCATAGTTGATCTGTAATAGTGTTACCCGCACAGATCCTCCTTGTATCCTCCTTGTGCATATTTTGTTTGGCCAAAATCCGTAGGAATATATAAATTTTTTCATTAACAACTTCCTGGGGCCCCACCCGCTCCCCCCCCCCCCACCTCCCCCACCATCACTTTTCTAATGGTCCATCCCTTACACTGTCCTATTAGTGCTGAAATCATGATCAATACAGTTGATAGCGAATCAGATTTGAGAATTTTGTTATAGTTATGATTAAGCGAGGAAGTGTGGTTTTAAGTGCACCCATCCACAATCCAAGGAAATAAAAAGAGAATTATTCATACTACTTTTTGCTTATCTCTTCGCAGTTTTTTTGACTCACGCCTCCCGTGGGGTTAAACGGGCTGTACGTGTCACGGCTACCTTGTTCATTTTGTTTTTAATGCCAGATACGCGTCTAGTTTATTCGCTATGAAACTTGCGAAATAACCTGTGAATGGCAAAATCACAGCTATGTCGCCCAAGCATTTTGTCAAACGTCACAAAGAACAAAAATGAACTTTGAAAAACTGCAATTGCAATCCGTTTCAATCTTCTTCAAGTTTGTCCATCCTTGACTCCTTTTTTATTTGTTGCGTGATTTATACCTTACTCTTACCTTTTTGAATGTTTTTTTTTAAGTTTCACTCAATTTGGCGGCCGTTCCCTCTGTTTGAATGTTGATACATTTCATGACACAACTCTCTTAAAGTAATCTTAACAATTGTTCATTCTACTGTTTATTTATTTCTTCACAGATTTCTGATTTTACGCAAGAAGCCTACTTCTTTAAAGCTGTTAAGCGCTATAGTCGTGGCGGCTGGTCTTTTCATCACTCTTATTCCAACAATTTTCCCAACAGTTGGTGGGAAAAACAAAGCCGAGTCTGCCAATGAGAATGGCACCATCTCCAGAATCATGTGGCCAATAATATTCATGCTTGGATCTGTAAGAAATATCAATATGTATACGTATTCATTTACTTAGGTTCGCCTATTCTTGGCAGGGTCACTGCAACAGCGCGTGGCGCCAATTACTGCCGGCCTGTAACAGTCCCCCTCACCATGAGAGATACACCACACCACCGGGGTCTACGTCCCCTACTCTTAACGAACAGTAGTAGTTTTTATAGTTAAACCTGGACATGTTTGGGTTAGCTGACGGTGAAAATATCAACAAGACAAACTCGGTGTGAGTGATGTTTTGGTGTCACTGAACCTAAACGGCTACGATCAGTAACGCGCCGCTGGTTACCTGACACAAACAGGGCATTCAACGGCACATAAAAAACCCAAGGTCAGCTATGACCTCCCAAACACGACCACCTGTGTAAATCGTACATCCGACAAGGCCAGGCCAACCCTGGGTGCTAGAGTTTTTTTCCCTAATTCGTTATAGTTCGCGCATGTGTTATTTCTATTTCATCCAAGGTATTTCGAGAATGGACCTCTAGAGCCAGGGAAGGGAAAGCCAAGAATATTCAAAAAACGGAATTAAACAAATTCTCGAGCCATTAGCTTAAACTCAAGCACGAGTAAAAACATAAGATCGAAAAAAGGAAAACACTCATGTGCAATAAATCCTGACTGACCTTGACCAACTTAATGAGACAAACACGAAAGTTAAATGATACCTAACAGCAGATCTTAAAAACGGATACCCCACTTTAAAATACTTCACAACAGTAAAAGCCACCTCTGCTCATTCCCCTGATACCCTTTCTCGCCGCTCCCCGGAGGCATTTTTTTCGCTCTCCCCAGTCTACCACGGCATGAAAAGGCCGCAGAAGAGCGGAGCAGAGAATGAAGTCGTCGTGAAGAGTAGCATGGGATAGATTATGATTTCTGATAGATAACCGATCGTTTCTAGTTTTAATTTGTGTCCGAAAATCTTAGCTTCCAGAAGCTCTTATGCGCGTCCTGGAAGAGCGAGGAGTAAAGACAGAGAGTGGTACATCAGGAAAACAAATCAACTTGGTGTACTTTTTATTTTGGACATCAACCTACGAACTTCTCTGCATCGTTGCCTTGTTTTGGACAGATATTCTCCCGTGGTATGGAGATGTCGACAGCATAAAGAACTTTGGAAACAGGTATATATTTTTTGTTATAGACCCACGGTTTTCTCTTTGTCTTCTGGAAAAACAACTCAAAAATACAGGTGACAATGCCAAATGTTATGTAAGGTAATTTAGGATAGTCTTGGATTCTGGCAGCCTCGTTCCCAGTCATCCTCGGTGATTTGGGATATGACGTAACCTGCCAAGCTCGGTTCCAAGCCTCCTCCTGGGATTCTGGAGTTAATACGGATTCCAGGTGCTGGATTTCGGATTCCTTCTCAGTGGATTCCGGATTCCAAGTGTAAGCGGGATTCCGGATTCCTTGAGCTCTTTTCCGTATTCCACAAGCCGAAATTTTTCGGATTCCAGATTCGACAAGCTTAAAGTTTCCGGATTCCCGAGTCCGGATCACCTTACTGGGGCAAAACATCTTCAATCCTAAAATAAATTACCGGTTGTAAACTAGGCTAATGTGCCTCAACAGGTGACTGGCATATCTGCTTAAGAATTTATCATTTTCTCTGATATTTCAGAGTCTTAAGACTAAAACATTCAGACAAATGCATGGAAAATTGAAAACTTGAAAATTCAGCGTAACTACGTCCCTCTGATTCCTTTGCCAAGCAACAAAAACGAGCAACTTGTTTAGAACATTGCTGCAAAACAGGTACACAGGATTTGCGTCTCTCGCTGCAAAACAAATTTGCCTTGGGCCGGTTAAACTTTCAACATGAACTGATTTTGTTGCAAAAGGTAGAACTACTCTTTTCCTACTGTAATAGTTTTTGCACAACCTACAACCTGATTTGTTGCAAGAAAGTTTGATTTGTGGGTGGTAAAACGCGCAACATCACTATTCAACTCGTTTTACACTCAATGGCCAAAACCAAGTTGCACGTTTTTGTTTCCCGTTTTATCATACCTGTTCCTGACTCATGTCTCACGTTTGCAGTTGGTGGTCAGCATTCCAATGTTTCTTTGGTGGAGCAGGTTGTAGTGAAGCCCCAGGCATTAGAGGAACCTTGTATATTGCCATGCATGTAATATCTCACCTCGCTGGCGCAAATCTGCTACGACATGCGGAAGGAGCTACTTTGCTGGCTATTGTCACGGTGAGAGGCTTAGGTAAAAACAAAACAACAAGCTCGTTTCCGTAAGGAGCTGGCTACACTGGTACCCGCGCACTAGTGGCTAGGGACAGGCAAAAATGGTTGTGTTCACACCTTGGATAGCCAATATGTGACTGTATACATTATTTACTACTGCTAGATGCCATCATGAAACTTTACTTTAAATTAGCAAGCGATACAAAGCAGTGGAACTAGCAAAAACGGTGTGCACACAAAGACTCGGTTAGCACTATTGTGCCCTAGAAAAAGATGTCAACCTCGTACCCCACGCCCGAATTTCGTAACAGCGCGCGCTCCCGTTGGTTAGTTCGAGGTCACATGACATCTAACAATGAAACTGTTTCCCACCAAAATCTCTGAGCGGGCAACATTGTAAAATCTATGACGTTACGTCACGTCAGTGCACTGTTATGCGCGAAGGTCGACTGACGACCGCCGTTACAGCGAGGTTTAGTGTATTTCCAGCTTCAAAATTTCCATCTATATAACAAATCACTTAAAGTCTGGCCAGTTAGGAAACAGCTAATTTTGTTTCCCTCGAATTTCAATGTTTCCGAAACAAACTTAACTGTTTCCCTCTGGACCGGTCATTTATAAGTGTTAAGTGTCTGATCCAGTTTCAAAAAGAGAAAGAGAATGGTTGCCTTGTGTTTACTTCCTCTATAAAACGTCAAATTAGGAAGTTTCACATCGTATTGTGCAGTGAAGGCAATAGACTGTTCCAAGAAGGGTGATAAGTTCGTCGCTGTGTTTTTTTCTCCTCCTGTCTAGTAGACGAGCAGCGATGGAAAAGCCCAAGGGTAAAGAAATCTGTCAAAAAGTGCAATGCACATGGTGCTTTTTTACGCCGGTGTCGATGCTTTGGCTGTGGTGGTTGCATAGTTCTTTAGCTGCCACCATTTCAATCAATACTTGATCAACCCACGTTTTTGTTTGTTTTATAGTCGCTGGTCACTCCTCTGGGATTCATTTTTTGGACTTTATTCCGTGAGACTCCATTCCAATGGCACCCTGCGGCTCACGTGAGCACCTGGTTCAGTATTGGCGCGCTTGTCATCATGGTACCGGCTATTTTCGCTTACAACAAGGGGTAAGAATAAATTACTCTTCACAAGGCTTTAAGGATTAAGTAATCTCTCATTATTGCTGAATGTAGCCGGGTTAGGAAAGATATTTTGTCAAATTGGCCACTGCCAGAAAAGAAGTGCCGTAGAAATAGGAAAAGTATTAAAGCATTTTTCACAGTAGCAGTAACAAAGGGAAATGCAGAATTTGCCAATTAAGGATGTGCTATATTTGTCTAGATAACCCATCTGACAGCTATGATCACACTAGACAGTGAATAGTCTCTATTTTGCTTGATAATCTGTGAGTGAGCGCGATATGCGAGTGCCTAAGCAGCAAAGCCGCCAGCAGCGAGTTGGGCGGGCGCCAGTGACGAGCGCCCGCAGAACTCGCTGCTCGAGGGTTCGCCGCTCGCGCACTCGCATATCGCGCTCGCTCAAAGAAGACACTGTTCACACTCTCACTCTACACAACTCCTAACTCCTAACAAGTACCTAACGCATTCATAGGTATAGCACAGCCCAAACACATGTGTCAAAGAAAAAATAGATGGCCCCATAACGGTTGTGATGAAACATATCGATCTCTTGAAAGCCAAATCAAGACATTGTTTGCTTATTTTTAGGGCGCCAGAGATTTCCTTGAACCCAGATGGAAGCAGTTGTGATGAGAAACTCTGCAGTACCCGATCTAGGTTGGAATTCCAGCTATCAAGAACCGGCCCAAGAGAACCTCTCTTATCTGAGTCTAAACGACAACCCAAATACAGCGTGTTTGAAGCTTAAAATTTTGCGGGGTACCAATATTGATTCAAGTGGAAATACCCTATCCTCGCATTAGGTATCATACGAAATTGAGAAACGTTTAATTTTGTGAAAGACCAAATTCTCCTGATTCTCTTAACTGCATAAGGATAATAATGAATATTGGTAACACAAACGCTAGCGGGCTTTAGCAAATGACTGAGACAAATTAATCAATTGAATATAAAAAGTTAAGAATTCCAACTAGCTGGAGGAGTCACGAGAAGAACTTTCCCCAAATCGACTGGAGCTGAACGCATAGTTCAGCGAATTGTTAGGAACTTCGACTCTTGATAGCCTTTTCACAGATTTTTTCTATTATTATTTTTGGAAATGTGCAGGCCGGTTGGATGTTTCGATGCGCCCGCGGTACTCCCCACCCAACGGCAGGGCGCACGGGTTTAGCTATTGTTAAAATGGACCAATCGCAAGCCAGCCCGCAAAATTTTGGCAGCCCTCTGACTTATCAGTTTAAAACTAATGCATAAATTATGAGAGGGACGCTAACGTAAACAAACATGGCGGACGATAAAGAATTTCTTAGCGAGTTTAAAAAGGCTGTTGCATTAAAAAGGTTTTGCATTGATAATTTTAAGGATAACCAGATACTCCGGGAGTACCGCGGGCACATCGAAACGCTCAAGGCTGGAGACTGAGGCCTAGACAATCTGGTAAGCGCGCGACAGCGAGCGCGGAGCGCGAGAACGAGTGCTCGACGATCTCTTAAGAGAAAATAGAGAGTTTGTGTAGCCTCTTCACAGATCCTCTGTTTTCTCTTCAAAGTCCGTCGAGCGCGGGTGATAAATAGAATATCGGTAAACCGCAGGGGATTTATTAACCGCCAGCGCAAGAGGGTAATGGTGGGGGAAGAAGAAAACAGACGTTCTTTTTATTTTTCTTTCTCGGGCGCTCTCTTCGCTCGCTGATGTTTTCGAAAAGAACTAAAAGAAAATTAAAACAACGTCTGTATACAGGCCAAGTTTGTGAACTGAGAGGAAGTCTGATCCACGATTTAAATAAGTGAAACTGTAAGTTGATCTTATTTTCCCGTAATTTTGTTTGCATTTTATTGTGATTTAACTGTGATTAAACACAACTCATGATTAAAACCGTACGCGCTCACCAACCCTGAAGTAATCTATATTTTTTTTTCTGCGATAACCCAACTTTATTCATTATTTTTTATCTTTCTTTCAACCACATCTGAGATGATAGTCTATGTTCTAAAAGCTCCTTTCCCTTTCCCTTCCCTCTCCTCGCGATTTTTTCACCCTTTCTCCAAACAGAGAGCCTGTTCACAGGCAATGTTTGATGGGCTTTATTACCTGGCCGGGTAGACTTGCCACAAGTCGACCTCTTGGCGAGCGGAGCGAGCCTTTTTTGGCCGCAAAGCGGCCGACCGCGAGCGATGAAGTCGCGAGAGGTCGTCCCGTGCCATATGAAATCCGGCGAAGGACTTTTTTGAAAGTCTACTGGCCGGGAGCGCGAAAAAAGAGCAAGGTGAGAAATCTTGCATCGTCTCTCATGTCAATTTTTTTTTCATCGACAAGTTTATACTTATTTTGCAAACAGTGCCTGTTTTTAATGCTTATGCGCAAATAAATCTTCCATCAGCCAAGGGTTTAAAAACAGGCCGAAAGAGCCGAACAGCTCATTGTACAGCACAATGGGAATTTGACCGAAGCTACTGCCGCAGTAATAAACCACGATCTTGTCTGTGCGTTTATTAAAGTGAGCGCATTGTCTGGATTTTGTTATAAACCCTGTAAACCTAACCTCACAGTTTTAAAATCCAATATGATGTTGTCTAGATCTTCGTTGATGGTTCGGTGTTTTGGTAGAGATTTATAACAATTTCCTTCCCTCACGCCCGACCTATCCAATCGAACAAAACCGAACAAAAAACCAATCGAACCCAATCGAACTCCAATCGTTCGATTGGGTTGGGCAATCGAACAAAATCGAACACCTATTTTGCTGTGAGTTCGATTTTCGAACCAATCGAACCAATATAATCGAACAAAATCGAACTAATCCAATGCAATTGTCTCTTGACGCCTCAAACTGAGTAAAACACGTGGAATATAATCATTGTCAGCTTTTATTGAATAAACAGGAACTGAACATCATACTGCAAGAATGTCAATGTTCGAACAAAACAAAACAAATAAAAGGCAATTTCGATGACTGTTAAGGTACTGTGATTGTTAAAAGGAAATGCTTCTCAACAGAGAAAAATCGCACCATTTCAACAACAGCAACACAGGCAGTTGTGTTTAAAATTAGTTTTATAATAAGCAGAAGGGACCTCGCTGCAGCCATTACTCTCTCCAGGTTCTTCAGAGTGGCCAAGAGTGACGTGGAGACGAGGAGAGCGGTCGGGAAAACACGGCCATTTTCTCCTTAAAACCCGGTGAAAACAAAATCCGTTTAGCATATGTGCCCGTAAGTGGGATCATAACTCACCATTTCATCCCGTCCTTAAAGGGCCAAAGTGGTGAGACCAACGTTCGCTCAAGATGTCCTAACTGCCCTTTAGTGTTGGTAACCTTGAATGCTCTTCCCTTAGAGCCAATCTTCTTAAAGATAAAGAATTCTTCTCCCACATCGACAGTAAAATTACATTCTTGGTAACCTTTTACACTGCATGTAATTTCAATACATGCAGTGTCCTCCCTCTCCTCCGTGTTTGACATTTCAGACATTTCAGTCCTGGGTTTCAGTGCTCAGCAAAAGCCGCGTAAAAAGGGAAGGGAGTTAGCGGTGATTTCACTTTCACCTTCGGAATTTTCCAATACCACGTGCCTATCATGCGATGCGGCGTCCGTTAATCGAACGTTCGATTATACCAATCGTTCGGTAATCGAACGTTCGATTGGGTTCGATTACCAATCGTTCGGTAATCGAACGTTCGATTGTGTTCGATTGGCAAAATTTTATTGTGAATTCGATTATGTTCGATTGAGTTCAGCAGTCGAACGATTGGTGTTCGATTGGGTTCGATTGCCGAACTGTTCGATTGGATAGGTCGGGCTCACGTAAGTTTGCATGAAGATGTGCTTACACATAGCACAAACTGCATGCAAATTATTTAAAGACCGGTTTAAAGACACGCTTTCAGTTTCCGCACTGGGTTATGATAAATGCTTTGTTTCCAAAGGTTATTACATTATTACAATATCAGGGGCGGATCCAGGATTTTTTTTAGGAGGGGGTGCACTCGTCTCTTGCTCTACTTCAACACCAATAAACCACATAGTTTTTTTTTTGCAGAATACCAGTTGTATTAGAAAACCGCAGGTCATCTCTAGGGGGGGCTGCGCACCCCCTGTACCCTCCCCCTAGATCCGGCCATGAATATTCAAACTTATTTACCTTTTCTGGAACAAACTCATACTGGATTTGGCGTTACTCGCTTCACATCGGCTTCCGCCTCCGCATGTTTTCTCAGCCCGTTCCCCGATCTCACGAAAAAATAGGGGACTGTAAACAGTCCACTACCCATGCTGCAGATACTACAAAAAGCCTGATTAAAAGTCTGCACCTAATTCTCATTTTTTTCCCCTTATATTTTACCTGGAATGATAGATTAATCCTTCATCCTTAGGAATCTACTCTTTAATGACGATTTTAGTCACTCCTCAGGCCCTTAGGGAGGGGAGGTGCGACGGGTGCGCTCGCACCCCCCGACAGGTTCCATAGGTCCACTTTTTGGTGATCAAAGATTAAAACAAAGTGAATTTAAAGCATTGTTCTATTCTAATTCACTGATTGTGTAGTAAAATTGAAAATACTGTGAAAGAGCTCATAAGCCTGACTCGCCCTTTCCACAGAACGTGTTTTAGCCTTTAACCCTTTAAATCCTAAGGTCAAAATTTGAATTCTCACTTGTTGCACTTATTCATTTCCAACAAAAGTAGCGGGGAGAAGTTGATAAAATGTCAAGCAAATTCATCTTGTGTGATCATATTCGTAATTCTCATGACCACTCTGCTTTACAAAGCATTGATATTACAAGGAGAAATTTGATGCTGATCACTCTTAGGGATCAAAGGGTTAAACTATAAAAAAGGGGATTTGTTGTACCTACAAGGCATTTACACCTGCTAATAAGTCACTTTCACCTTCATTTTTTCCTTAACAAGTGTTTCTTTCACTGAGAGGTCATGTGGTCTGGTGCTGTATAGTGATTTCCTGTGGATTCTTCTCTTTGCTCTATCAGAAATTGACCTCTCATAGGTGCAAGGATTTTCCTTTCTCGCTTTAAAAAGCGGCCCATGAAACTTTAGGGTTTGGTTCCATAGTTTTCTGCAAAGTGTTGGATCTGAATTGTCAGTTTAACAGTATGACAGGGTATGAGATTCCCTGCTATAGTTTTGACATGCTCCGACCCAGCTTTATTTTTGTTTTCGTTTTCTGGCGAGAGCGGTACAACCGTTTCTAACTGGACGCATTTATTGGGCCGTTTCAGAGAATGCGAATTCTCGTTTTCGAATTGCCCGTTAAACAGCCAATTACAAAGGGTGGATCTCGGATCCACGTGTGCTTGAAGGAGATGAAGATACATATTGTAATTTGTTTTTTGAGCATCCCTTTTTCTTTGAGCATAGTTTAAATTATCTGCTGTCAGTCTGTGGCAAAAAGGAATAATCGAGGCATGAGAGAGGCTCCCCTCTTGTGCACATCCACCGTCTAACAGATAATAATAAGGTTGTCTCTTTGCAAAAAATAATCAATTTTGAAGTTCCAAAATTTGAGAAATGTCCATGCCTTTCAAAACATTTGTAATACAGTCTCAGACAACCTAGTTCTCCAACCCCCCCCCTCCTACCCATAGACGTGCTCCTCCGGTCTCGTTTTTGGCTCGCACCTCCCCTTAAAAAAACCTGGCTACGGCCTACTCCTCTGCGCCAAAGACACTCGTTATCTCTATGAATACATGTAGTACGCTACTGCACAATGACTTAATATTCCGGTCAGTGTAAAACGCAGACCGCACACTGCGGACCAGGGGTAAAATGCAGAGTGAGTGTGAAATGCAGACTGCAGAATGAGAGCATTTAACGCAGGCTGGCTGCAAAATGCAGAATGAAGACTGTAGACTTTTTAAACATTTGTGCTCCTTAATTTCTTCTCCAAATACGTGAAATAGCGAGCTGGTATCAGTTTTATACGTCAGTTACACACCTCGCTTCCTAGTCGAAGTACATTGCACATTCGCCAGAAGTTTCAATGAACATCCGAACAGCTTAAGTCTGCGTACCTTGATTTGCAATACTTTCATAGAAGGTGATCTAAATTTCCTGCAGATCATCTTTCTTTGTTGTTGGAATGATTTACAGTGAAACCTGTATTAAGCGGACACACTCGAGGAATGCTGTAGTGTCCGCTTCGCCAGGGTGTCCGCCTAATACAAGTTTCAATAGACAACGTCATATGAGGTGTCAAATGCCATTCAAATGAAGAGTAGAAACGTTTAGAACACTCCCAGAGACTATGACGATATACGTTTGCATTAATTTGTTTATCAAAGTGGACCAATTGATCATAGTACCATAAACATAGATTGCAACTCAAATTTGAAGAAATCAAAAATGAGTCAGGGGCACCCAACGAGAATCTAGTTCAAAGCCACTTAAGCATAGCATAGGTAAACGTATTTTAGCATTTGAAGGGTAGATATAGGCATACTGTTATCCCCTAAAAATTTTTCATCTGTTCGGATTTCCTAGCTGAAAGTCTGGTGATCTGAAAATTATAGGGATCAAAACTTACCTTTTCGAAAATTTCAGCCAGAAAAAAGGCTCCCGAAAATTCTATAGGTGACCTTTTTAGGGTAAAAATCCGTTAAAAATGGGCAATTATACAATTTTTTAGATGTTCGAAAATCCTGGGAGAGGCAGGCAGGAAAGAAATTTTACAAAAAATTTTCCGAAAATTCTAGATCTGAAATCGTCTTCCGAACAGATAATTTTTTCGAAAATTGACGTTGGGTGCCCCTGATGAGTGAAACAAGCCCTGTACAAACAAAACGAAATAGAAAACAATACTGTACTGTGAAACTAATAAAATAAGTTCTTCAAGTCACGTTTTTCAATGTAAAAATCGAAAAATTTGTAGGTGGCAATTCGAGGCAATCCCAGTTCTCATTGCCGGTGACTGGCATGTTGGGTGGTGGAATTGAATAAATGCAGGTTGGCAACAATAGAAATGACCATTTCAGGTACTTTTTAGGTGTCCGCATCCGCTTAATAGAGGTATCCCCTTAAAAAAGGTTTCATTTAAAGTAAATGAGGGAAATAAATTTTGGGACTTCGGTTACTGTCCGCTTAATACGGTGTCCACTTAATACAGGCTATATAGGTAGTTTTGTATCTAACATGAAAGAGAAAAAAATTAACGAAAAAAAATGGAGTATTTTGCTGGCCAGGAACGGCGCTCTCATTCTTTACGGCTTACATTTGAATATTTGATTTCGGGCCCGAAAAGTTACCGGGACTTTCGAGAAATGGGCCCCAGGGGCGTGTCCTGGCTGTCAAACTACTCCATTTTGTTTCATTAACTGATAGTTTTATCATGTAAGATGCAAAACTATTGAAATTTCTATAAACAACAACAGCAAACAATTACCAGTTCGGGAGTATGCCAGTTTTGGAAGAAGCGAAAACAATAGTCTACGTCACTAACCATAACATGATCACCATGGCGATGGTCATTTTCAAAACATACAAAATGGCGGACAAGGGAGAGGAGAGGAAAGAGTATTGACCAAAATTCTCGTTTATTCTTGTTTTATCGAGCCTTTTATTTGTCTTCTCGTTACTATGAATTGAGAAGTACCTTGAGGACAGGGAGTAACCATTCGTGCGCTATAGTTCTTCGCTTATCGCGCGCTTAGTAGGCACTGCGTACTCACTGCGTATGCGTATGTAATCAGTACATCGAAAATAGGTAAGCACGCTAACAAGTTTGTGCCTATTTATTTCATTATTTTTTTATATCATAAGGAAAAAAGAATGCTTTGGAAACAACTAAAAAGTGAGTTGTTCTATGATTCATTTCCTTATGTTTGCTTTCACAGTAAGTGTTAATGTAATTTTTCCCGTTGCTTCTGTTTCTCTCCCGCGAGTAAGCGACTGGCCGGAGAAGACGGCTGTAATTCAGGTTATTGTTTTGGTGCAGGCGAGTTATTTGTGGGTAAAATATCTGTTTTTTCGAATATGATGTTCTGTTGGTTTATGTCTTGAAGCGGTTCCGTCCAGGTATACAACAGGTTTACAAGGGATTTCTGAGGGTATTGTGCCCGCGTTTTCTTCTTGAAAACCCACAAAGTGAAAATCTTACTTATCATCCCTGATATTTTTTTTTGTCCCGCTTCAAAAAAACCTATTGCTTTCAATTATTCCACTTTCTGAAGTTCACTGATTATTTGGTCAAGCTTAACAAATGCAAGAGGCTCTTAAGAATTTAATATACGTATTGGAAAACTAAGAATTATGCTTGTTACATGCTTTTGGATCTATTGATTAAAATGGGATACTATAGTCTTGTAGTCCACCGAATTTGACCAGAGGTCAGAGATCAACAAGGTTATGGTTTGTTATAAAATATCCTCTTGTATGGGATTTGATGTTACATCCGAATAATACTAAATTATTGTTTTTAACTCTGGGGTTACCTTTAAACCAAAGGCATTGTAACTTTGAGGAGCACTTTTCTCCAAGTCTTCTCTGTGGGGACCCTCAAACAATTCTATAGACAAGGTTTGGCCCAAAATAATAATGATTACTGCACTTGGCATGGACACAACATAAGTTTTCCAAAGTTCTTTTTCATAGCCGGTTCTTCATGTTTCTATTGAACAGCACTTTCAAGAAAACAAAGCTCACACATCAGAGTAAAGATACAATAAAAGTTATTTATTGTTACATCTTGGTGTTTGTAAATAAACATTTTATCTTAGGTCCTGACAGTTAATTCTTTCCGTATTACTGTTTTTGATTCTGACCTGCATGACTCGCTGCCATGGCTCGCTGGCTCGCATATAATTATACACACTCTTTTATCTCAAAATCTTGTTTTTTTAACACCTTCTTGGACATGAAAACCAAAAACCAAAACTTAATTGATATAATGAAGCAGCTGACATCAATTTTCAATAGTTATCTTGTGAGATGTCTCTCATGTATTATTTATTAGGGAGGATGATTTGTAGAGGACGATGCATTAACATAGATGCTTTTTCATCAATAGAATCTCAATAATTTAGGATTTATTCAAATACACACATATTCGATAGTATGACATCAAATGTGGGCTCATTGCTCATGCACAGGGATTGATGGGGGAGAGTGTGGCATTTTTCATGTTTCAGATTGACCTTTTGCACAGCACAGGGACTGACCATGTTATGTATTTGGCATCTGTAAAGTATAAACAATATTTGACGCGAGGGATTGAACATTATGTAGAGAAAATCTTCACAAGCCTCCACTTCCATGACTCCTTCCTCATCTATCTCCTTTAAAGCCCCTTGAATAAGGGCCACAGTCTCTTCTTCTTGAATGGTCATTGAGTGTGAGCTTCCACTCACAAGGTATATAAGCCCCCCTCCAACCTGTTTCCCTCTTACCCATTTTTGAACGGGTCAAAGGAGGGGCTTTTGTGGTGGGTAAGCCTGTGACCACACTACAAAGAAACAAAAAAAACATATTTAATTTTATTGAGGTAGGGTTGAATTTGGACATTAAATTTTTCATTACAGTGGAACATTAGGCGAACCTGAAGCAATATTTTGCCCTCAGAGCACAAATATGTCGTTCTGAAGATATTTAGCATTTTGTCTTCCTGGTTCCTTTTCTCAGCTTTTTGGCACAAACGCGACAACATGTTCGTAATATCTCCAGATGTTTGTCTACATTTTTGACGGAAAGCCTGATCAAAATAAAAGAAATCAATATAAGAACCTACTCACACTGATTTAAAACTCATTCCACACACATGATCTGGATCAATGAAGTGATTTCTAGATGATCATGAGAGTCGCATACATTGCCGGTGAACACGACCAAAAACAGACCTGATCGATTATAACTAAAACTACATAGACAGACTAAGGCATAACCATCAATATCAGTAACCCTTCCCGTCCGTTGGCAATTTTCAATGTGTGGTTGCCATTTTTACTAGGTTGTTGCCATCGATGAAACTTTGCCTGACCACACTTTAAACGTTATAGTTTTGAGGAAAATTAGTCTTGACTTCGTAAAAATTCGGCAAGATACTGAAAACTAAACATAAAGTCATGTACTTACATTCGATACCCGTCAAGATGGCGGCGGCGGCGGCGGCGTCGAAGGCCATTTGAATACTGTCGCTTTTAACTACCGAAATGTGGCGGGAAACTTCCCTTGACATTCAAAAAGCAAGGAGAAGGCTTCTTCATCGGTACTGCTTGCTCGGAAGTCCCGGATATTGAACGAGGAGATCTGGAACAGGCTTTGAAAAAAGCTCCCTTCTTTCTTGCTTGTTTTTTCCTATTTTTGCGTGTTTTTAGCAGAACAATGGAATCATGACGTCATCGCTTCTTCCAAAACTTGCATACTCCCGAACTGATTACGTGTGATCACAGGATCAGATGTAGCCGATTGCGTAAACTAGCGGATCATGTGATGGCTTGCGAAACAGCATTCATTAAAGCATCAATAAGCGAGAATTATGACACAGAGTGACTTCCGCCTGCCGGTTGAAGATCAGAAGAACGCGAATGAAAGCATACAAAATTAGATTTGCAAATTGCAAGGGTGACTTGGAGAGCTTTTTTGAAAGCTAAGTCCAATCGACTATCTTCGACCTTTTGAAGTGACCTGATTCACCTGCGAAAATGTCTTCCATAACCACCCCAGCATTCGAGGACACAGTAGACTTTTTTATGTGTCACCTCCTCAGTTTGGTCAGTATGGAAAACAGAAAACAGTGAAAATAGTATTCTTTGAGATCCCCCTCTTCTGGGCCAACTTTTTATTTGCGTTTCTAGCGGTAACAGGTCAGGTTGGGCAGAACGTAAGCCTTCCTCTGTGGGTTGACTCTACAAATGCAAACACTTCAGGGCCAACGGTGGACAGCTATTTCGTCTTGTCATTTGCCAGTTTGTCCTTCGTCATAATATTTGGTCTGGGAACGCTGCTCATTCGGATTATCTCGCCTCAAGAACTCGGCGAAACTGAAAAACGCTTTCCTCATCGTCTGCTATTTTTGGTTGGCTTTTGCGATGCCCTTAATGGCTTACTGGTTGTGTTTGCAAGCAAGGGATCGCGGACACCGCCATATCTTCAAGCGATCCTTGGAAACTTCATTATTCCACTGACTGTTTTGTTCAGGTGAGTGCACATATTTACTTGAAAATTTATGCGTGCGGCCGGCATTGTCATGAACATCGAAGCGGATGATTTAACATTAAGTGGCCCCTGCCCTTCGACCTTGTAACAGTAATGGCAAGGAGTCACGCCAACCGTTCACGCCATGATGTAAGTTTAACGAGAGAGACCCAACGGGAAAAATATCCGTATTTTGCCTGTAGTTGCATAAAGCAAACGACGCAATTTTAAATTAACGGCAAACACAATGAACACGCTAGCCGGCATTCGTGAACAAAAGACGCTGAATATTCGTTTGTGTTGAACAATGATGGTGATTTTAGTGAATTCATATTAAAATCATTATTTGTCCACCGCCGCTTCAGCTGACGCGTACACGATGTTATACTTTCCGCACTGTATTTCTTTTTGAAAAAATAAATTTGTCCTCCAAGTCTCGCGCTGAAATCCCCGTAGAAGATACAGTAAAAACCCACGAGTAAGAACCTAAGATTTAAGAACCTGTTAGGCTAAAATTTTGTAATTTAGACCCCCTCTATATAAGAACCTCCCTAGCCTAAAATTTGGAGAAAGGTTCTTATATAAATATTGTTTGATTGAGGTCATTGAGAAAATGTTTATAATATTGTGTTTTACAGCACAATCATGTATATAAAGTTGTTTTGACTCAAGAAATAAAAATTCATGTGAGAATAGATCTCTATTATGGTCATATTAAAATTACAAGCAACATTAGGTATGCAAATTTAAGGGTGCTGATCACTAAAATCTTCTTAGCAACGACATAACTTTTTGGAAGAAATTAAGAACCTATTAAGAACCTAGATAGCCTAAATTTATGTTAACCACCGTTTATGTAAGAACCTGTTTAGGCTAACCCTGGAAAATGTAGGTTCTTACTCGTGGGTTTTTACTGTATCTTCACTGCTTGATCCCAATTATGCTTTGCATGCAACGGCCCGGCGAAACAAAGACCCTTGTAAAGCCAGTTCCGGTCATCGCAACCCAATCAGTAGAACATATAACAGGAAAATTAAAATTTTTAGTACTACTATGAGATCTTCAGCAAGAAAAACACGGCGTAAAGCTTTTCTTTGCGCCGGCTTTAAAGTAAACGGCAATCTCTTCTAAGTACTATTGGCTCAGTTCTTCTGCCCGCAGTGTTCTGCCGTTGTCATTTGTATTTGGAAACGTGCTGCACGTGTGTTTTGCTTAGAAGACTCGAATTTCCACTGCCTGACAAACAACAGACTAACTCTTAGCGAATGGTGAATTCTACGCACTGTCAAAGAAAACGGAAAACTAGGGCCTTCGCTGCAGGCGCATCAGGGGCACCCAACGACAATTTTCGGAAAAATATCTGTTCGGAAGACGATTTGAGAACTAGAATTTTCGGAACATTTGTTGTAAAATTTCTTCCTTGCCTGCTTCTCCTAGGATTTTCGAACATCTAAAAAATGGTATAATTGCCTATTTTTAACGGATTTTTACCCTAAAAAGGTCACCTAGAATTTTCGGGAGCCTTTTTTCTGGCTGAAATTTTCGAAAAGGTAAGTTTTGATCCCTATAATTTTCGGATCACTAGACTTTCAGCTAGGAAATCCGAACAGATGAAAAATTTCTAGGGGATAAAAATATGCCTTATATATCTACCGTTTAAATACCAAAATACGTTTAACAATGCTATGTTTAAGTGGTTTTGAACTATATTCTCGTTGGGTGCCCCTGGCGCATTCTCACCCCTTCTCGCGCTCACCTCGCGCTCTATAACCATGATAAAAACTACCGAGCCTGGCGCCTGCTACGCAGGCTAAGAACTAACAAAACATCACGGCTGTTTAACCTCGTATACCGTGAACCCTCTATCGTTTTGTTTTCCTGTTTTTTATTGTAAGGCCTTCCTTCCTCTACCCTGCGGCGAGCAGAGGTTTTTCTCTTGTTCTCTTGCATGGCTTTCAGCGTTTACGAAGTCGTTCGCGTCGCTTGTCAGTCGCGCAGTTCGTTTAAGCGAGAGAACGACTTCGTGAACTCTAAAACCCATGTAAGAAAGAAACCTCTGCTCCCATGGTATCCTTCCTCGTTTTTGGGCTAGTCTTTTTCCACACTGCCGAGATTCACCTAGCAGACGAATGATAAAGTTATCTATTAATGGCTCATTGGTTTGGATGCACGAATAACCTCGGTTGCATAAATAACCAAATTTTCTTTCCCATGGTGCTCTGCTATAAATACAGTAGATTACGTTTTAAAAGTGCACTTAGCTTAATCACTTTTTTTAAAGTTTGTTTTCCGCAACACTGACCTATTTTATTTGACTGAGTTAGATTCGACGTCTGAAATCAACTCGTGCTACAGTTGTGTTTAGGGTCTTGCTGAAGTCGAGCCAGCTTAGAACGGCATTAGCACGGCGTTTGAAACAGGCCTGATTCACCCTGGAAATCGCTTCTTATCTCATTTTTATTATGGATTGCATATATTACAAACACAATGATACACCGTGGAAAAGATGATAAAATTGTATTCTTACACCTGAATAATACTTAGAATTCTCCTCTTTTTTCTAACACAACATACACGATTTAAACAAGAAGAATGAGAGAAAAAACCGGAGTGGAACGCCATTAAAAAAAAGGCGAGCCAAGCGGTGGACTGGGGAGGGGGAAAGGGCTCTGAACCTTGACCTTTCCCTCGGCAAGATAGTATAGCTCGGTTCTTTGTAATAATATTTCCACCTCTATGTTGCAGGTTGGTCATTTTACGCAAGAAACCGACCCGTTTAAAGCTGTTATGTGCCCTTGTCGTGTTTGTCGGTCTTTTTGTTTCCCTCATTCCAACAATTTTCCCACAAGTTGATCCCAAGGCAGAGAAAACAAAGAACGAAGCCCATGGCGCGTCAAGAGTGTTGTGGCCAATCATCTTCATGCTTGGGTTTGTAAGTACCTCTTGTTTGTTCCGCACAAAAATCCCATAAAGTGAAAGATGGGAGACTTGAGCTCAGACAGAAAATAGGGAAACTTTTAAGGAACGAGATTGGTTCAAAATTAAGGTGTGAAAATTCCTTGTCTTCACGCCTAGAATGCGGATAGAGGGGGTATCAATAAATCGTCCTTCCCCTGGCTTGCTGGTCTAAAATGTCCCAGTCTTCTCCCCTAAAGAGGTGACCTCAGGAGTTTTTATCTTTTCTTAATTGATGTAGTAAGAAGTCTAGCTGACATAGATCTTTATTATCAGTAAAAAAAAACACGTTGTATTGTCTTGCCTTGCCTCCGATCAGAGCTTTGCTTAGTTTTTCTTTCACTTTCTCCCTAGGTTCCAGCAGCCGTTATGAATGTGTTAGAGGAACGGGGTGTAAAGATGGAGATTACGGAAAGCAAGGGATCAAAAAAGGGAATCAACTTGGTTTATTTTCTATTCTGGACCTCGTTGTACCAACTGCTTTGCGTGTCTTTGTTCTTTTGGGCGGATTTCCTTCCCTGGTATGGCCAAGTGGACAATATCAGAGAATTTGGAAAAAAGTACGTCCTTTTGTTTTGTTGTCAGGACGAAAATTGGTTGGCTTGTCACACCACCTCATTTGAAAAGTGCGAGTTGGAAAGGGATTTTGCGCGTTTTTCCACCCAAATATGTTGGAGAAAGTAAAAGGTAGCCATACTTTTCGCAACAAAACTCCGCTGTACCCACTGCGCGTTTTACCGCCCCAACTCCAGTGTATGGCGTGACTCGCGCGCAATTTTATCTAATCAGAAGTCAGTATTCACGCAACTTGCAGCAACCTGATTTTTATTGCAAAACAGATTTGAATGTGGGTGGGGCAACGCCCAACATCACTTTTCAGCTCGTTTGCAATGCTGTTGTTGATGATCCTGTTTGGAGACATCGGATTTTTTTTAAGAGCGATCTTTTCTCGTCTTTTTTGTAGCTGGTGGTACGGAATTCAATGCTTCTTTCACGGAGCAGGTTGCAGTTCCACATCAGGTATCAGAGGAACCATGTTTATCCTCATGTACGTTGTGTCTTATGTTGGTGGAGCAAATCTTTTGAGACACGCTGAAGGAGCAACCTGGCTGGCGATTGTCACGGTAAAACGACTCACTAAATTGACCTTCTCTGCGTGGAATTAATATTTTAGAAAGAAGCTGGTATTGCGTATTATTATATGGCCATGTCTCAAAAGGACTGGAAACAAACAAATTCAAGAATTTGATTGGCTAAATTCGATCTTGACCGCGGTCTAGATTTTCCGATCTAGACCGGTATCTAGACCGACCTTGTTGTAACAGTTGTCCTCAAAAAGTTACAAACAAAGAATATGAAAAAATTGGCTTTTTTGTTCAAAGTTTGTACAAAGCTGGACTTTGAACAGTTATTTTCGTCCCGTTTGGACTGGAGACCAGTGACAGAAGAAAGCCAGCTAAATGCTTGAGCCCGCGCAGGGAAGCAAATAAAATTATTTATGTTTTTGTTCCTTTGCTTTCTTGTTTGGCCATATAATAAACATCTTATTAACCGAGCTAGGTTGGTCTGTATGGGAGAATCTTCACCTCGGTTGCTGGTACAGACCTCACGCTCGGTTTTAAGAGCTAATTATTTTGCCTAGTGCCTAGGCCTCAATTGGGCGCGGCCGATGCGTTTCGGGTCACGTGGTCCAAGCGAGTTTTTGAGGATACGTCACCGAAGTGCATTGACCAAGAAGAACTTGAAAGACATGAAAAAAGTGAAATCGACTGCACGCATAAGGCCTAATTAATGAGTGGAGAGCACGGATCTGAAGTTACCAACGTTCCTATGCCGTTTATTTCATTTCCAGCGCTTACATGGGTCATCTGTGTCATCGCATTGACCGCATAGCTTTTAAACAGGCTCCTGAAAATGTAACTGAGAAACTTTGAATGCAGAGAACCACACAACTGCAGATTAAAGCTCAGCCAAAAGGGCCAACACTTTTTGCCTGATCTCTTTTTGTTAAATGCTCCTACCAGACGACAATGTGACATGCAAAAATGCAAACTTCATCGCAAGGCTATCTCCACGATGGAATGTCAACTTTCAGTAAGAGAAATAAAGGAAAAATAGACCATTCCCGAGTTCCATACGCCCTCACTTTAAAAATTGGCCTATTCATACATCTGATACATCGACGGGTCTCGCGCATTGTTGATATATCGCTCAGTCCGAAATATGATAACAGGAATAGAAACTACCATTCTTTGTTAATCAGGTGATGATTCGGAGATTCAATTATTGACTGGAATGTGGCGAAATGGGAGAAAAGAGTCTTGATCTTAATTGGCCAGTGAACAAACAAAGTTGGCCGACAAGTTTTTTCGTCGTATATTACGCACTAACAACCTTGCAGGTGCACCAGTTCATTTTCATAAAGAAAATTGGGGTGGAGCAATTTTCTTTAACTTCTGTTCTTCTGTGATATCATTATTCATCTTCATTCAAAATCTTGCGAAGGGGAAACCATCACGCAAGACATAATAAATGAAATTAATTAATAAAAATGTCCTAGAACTATGGATTCTGGGGCAGGTTTCGCCATTGCCAGTGAAGTTAATGATTCTTGATTGCTTTTGTTTCATGTAGTCCCTCGTTACACCTTTAGGATTCATTTTCTGGACTTTGTTCACTGAATCACCGTTCAAGTGGCATCCGGAAGGTCACGTGAGCACCTGGTTCAGTATCGGCGCGCTTGGGCTCATGGTTCCCGCCATTTTTGTTTACAACATGGGGTAAGAATTAAATATCGTATTTACTAGAAAGGCTAACTCCCTCGAATAAGCGCCGCATCACTCCACCTTCATTGCGGCATTATTTTTTTCTTGCCATTCGTTTTTGTTTTCTTGACATCGTTAATGCTGCAGACTTGCCGACCCCTAAAAGTAAAAAAATGTGAGATTCTGATCCTAGAGCTGGGAAAAGAAGTAAGAAATGGGTAAAAAGTCCTGAGATGTCCCAAATTTCCCAGTATAGTAAAAGGACTTCCAGGTTTCAGTGGAGATTATGCGTATTGGAAGTCACTATATTACTTTAAAGCTGGAGCAGTAAACATCACGATCAATTCTACAATTAAGGTTTTGTAATATCTGTGTTTTGTTGGCACCATCTTGAAACAAGAGAAACAATAAGTCTGCACATTTGGTCACAGCAGCAAACCGCGGTAGGCTAAAAGAATGTAATAATATTAATCAAATGCGACTGCTAAGCGTTTTCTTTGGGTTGAGCTGGCTATCTATTGGAAACGAACCCTACAGCTCCAAATTTTATTGGAGTTTGACTTTTCGAGAAAGGGTAAAAAATCAGTTGTCAACTCGTGAGAGCGTGAAACAGGTCCTAAAATCGTGAGTGGCAAGTCTGATGCTGATCACGGTTTAGTAGGGTGGAGCTGCTTTTCGACTGAAGAACCTCGTGTAACACTACCAAGGAAGCCTGTCTCAGTATATTGGGCCTTTATTTTGGAACGAACAAGATTTAATTAGACTCGATTTCGACGATATGGAAACTTTGTTAATTGAACATATCGTCTTTTGGACATTATACGGGTCTTTATTAGTTTGAAGGTTTTTAGCCGGTCCAATCCCGAGTTAAATATCCCTGGAGGTAAAACTATTTAAAAAATACCCTCCTCTCGAAACGAAGTTTTTGTTTCTTCTTCTTTTTTTGATGGTAGCGATTTCTCCCGCGCTCTATCGGCCATTTTCGGACTGCCTGTGAGACTGGGCCAGGTCGGTCATCGAATTGCATTATGGAACTGTTTTGGGGAAAATATTCTGACGCAGAATACTCCAGTGCAATCTTTGTGTTGTCATAAAAATAAGTGATAGCGTCTCCAAAACATCCCATTGCGCAATTCGTAATAACGCCTACCCATCGAGTCTCAGTCACAAAGTAGTCTCACTCATAAAGTCAAAATGGCCAAATTTCTTCTAACTCTGTTTTCTTTGAATGTGTTCTTTTAGAGCGCCAGAGATTTCCTTAAATGCAGGTGAAGACCACAAGGGGTATATCCATTCAGATTCTATAGGCAAATACAACTCTGTTGACGGCGGCTTATATCAACCTCTTCTCTCAGACGCCACCCAGCCAACTAGCTACAGTGTTTGATATATGATGCGAATTAATACTCAATTAGTGGTATTACCCTTACCCTCTCAAAGAGGTTTTTAGAGATATATATAACAAACAGCATTGCAAATAAATATTACTAGTGTGGTCGAGACTACAGTACCTAGCTAGAAACGAATCCCAGCCCGTTCACCTCCTGACCACGCCCTAGGCAATTCTTCTGGATAGCCTGCGAACGCACGCTGACGTGTTTCTGGCCGTCGCTCGCCGTCGCTTCTTTTGGAAATCCTCCCACGTCTCTTTGCGTTTGCAGGCTCAGATTTTGTATGTGTCGCGCGCACAAGAAAGATACACACTAAGGCGACTTACAAAATAATTTCCGAGTTCCAAGAACTCTCACTTTCAAAACGACTCTAAGTGCTTGTAGAATTCGAAATGAGTTATACTGTACTTGCATGAGAATAATAATAAAAAAAACATTCTCATATCAATAGCTTTACACTTCAAAATAGCTTTAAAACAGAGGCTTTTGGTAACTCAAAAATGGCCCATTAGTTTCGTCCTAGAGCTCCTCAGTTGATTGCCATACAATAAAAATATCAAAAAAGAGTAAACAGATATTTCAAGTAACAATGCATACATTGGGATGCGGACATGGTTGCGCGGCCATTGACCCTTCAGGGCTGGTTGGTTTAGTTTGACATGAAAGAGTTTGATCCGGAATACAAAGTAGGTAAGGTAAGGTTAAGGCGCACACGAGCCAAAGGCCCAAACGGCTGGAGCTTATCCCGGTTTCCTTAGCAGGACTGCTAGGAGTATTGCTACTCCACCCTGGACGGGATGCTAGTCCATCGCAGGGTTAACCTCTAGCATATGTCGCCGGTACACCCGGGTGAAGAGAGACATGACAAAGTGGAGCAAAGGTCCTTGTCTAAGGAAACAACGCCACGGTAGCCTGTTCCAGGCTCCGAGATAGTCGGGCCCGCTGAATTGACAAAGCGCGAAGACGAAAATAAAACGGGAGGAAACAAGGTGAAGGTCTCAATCTCTCCCTTCCTTCTCCTCTTTTTCGCCCCTCCAACTTTTCACGTGCCTTTTACTTTAGCGTCTTCCCCACTAAATGAGAGTCTGTTCACAGGCTAACGCGACTGGCGAAGCTTGAACCCCGGAGTTCGACGGCCATGCACACATGCCTCCACCGAATACAAAGAACTTTTGTTAAAATTGCCTGAATTGCAGACGTTTACTTCGAGTCGTCATTACTCTCTCACTGAGTAACAGTAAAAACGACTCGAAGTAATCGTCTGAAATTCAGGCTATTGTTAACTAAAATAGTTGTTTCTCACTCTTACACAACAACAACAACAACAACAAGTTTATTCAGTCTTACCATTTTGTACAGGTGTTACCGATTAAAATAACAATAATAAACAGCTAAGTTTAAGGAAATACAGGTATGATAGAATGGTAGAATTAACTATGTTTCTTTCGTCTTTCAAATGCTTGAAAGATGAAATTAGCAGCTAGCCTGCTGATATGTGAATCAGTATTGTTAAAAGGAAAACAGACTTTATCATGGATATTGTAATGTGTAAATAATGTATTTCGGTCGTTGATTTTAATAAAAAGAGTCTCTCTCAAATCATTGTATTGATCACACTGAAATAATATGTGCGGTTCATTTTCAACCGAATTTTGGCTGCAATGATCACAGATTCTAAGGTCTTCAGGAGTTTTGGGGATTGTAAATCTTCCAGTTTCTATTTTTAAATTATGATTTCCTATCCTAAATTTGGAAGCTACACGCCTATGTTCAGGATTCCGGATATGATTGATGAATTCAGAGTGATTTGTTTCATTTTTAAAGATGGAGTAGAATTTTAGTTTTTTATTTGTTCTTATCAAATTTAGCTGGTGGTTTTTCAGATGTTTAGACAAATTATTCTCAGCTTTGGATAGGAAAGTAGAAGGGTTTTTAAAGTTAACTGACTGTTTATGAATATTAAGTTGTGTACTCAAAAGATTTATTTCATTTATTAGACCACAGGGCGCCCAGAATCACAACAGCATACTGGAAGCCAAATTATAAGGATTTGTATGGAAATTTATCTTAAGATCGATAAAACGGTTAAAATGTACAAAAACAGCTATTAAAGTATACATACGTCATTAAAAGTTGTGTCTTTGTTGTTTTCTTACTGTTTCCTGCCCTATAAACGCCATTTTAGCAAGTTTTAATGTTTTGGTTTCTCAACTATTAAGAAAAATAGTTGAGAAACCAAAACATTAAAACTTGCTAAAATGGCGTTTATAGGGCAGGAAACAGTAAGAAAACAACAAAGACACAACTTTTAATGACGTATGTATACTTTAATAGCTGTTTTTGTACATTTTAACCGTTTTATCGATCTTAAGATAAATTTCCATACAAATCCTTATAATTTGGCTTCCAGTATGCTGTTGTGATTCTGGGCCCCCTGTGATTAGACCTGATTTATTTTTGATTAATTTTATTTATTTATTTATTTTTTTTTACACCAGTGTTACTAGTCCCGAACTGTCGTGTTCGGATATTTTGCCATATTTCTAATAATTACCAATAAAACTCTTGACTGAAAATTAGAGGAAAATCCTCTCTTCCCGAAACTTTATGTATCTCATCGACATCTACCCTCCCGTCTCCCGCCTTAATTTCTCTGTTTCCTTCCCCTGGAAAATCCCCTCAGCCCTCCCCATTGTTTTTCTTTACAATGGCACCCTGCAGAGTTTTGCCGGTAATTTGACATGACAGAAGTTGTGTAATCCGATCTCAAAACTGCAGATGAATCGGTTTTATGCTAGCCTGCAATCCCATTCGTATTTTTAAAAAGATCTCCGCGGGACGAACAATTCCTTGCTGAGGGTTTTTGGTATTGAACTCGACTGAAGCCAGGAGCTGAAGACCGGCCGGCGGACCCCAGCGGATTTATAGGTCGACCCGGCCGAAGTAAGCTTATTTCTATACGCCATGAATACTTCTCCAGAAGATTACGAGCCACCTGTACGAGACAACTTTGCCTCTGCAGAGAGTGTTCCACTTTTTAGATCTCCAGAGAAACAGCCTCGAATAAGGCATTTGACATCATGTTGTTGTTCTTCACGCAATTTCGCCACATTTCTGTTTGCCATAATGAGCGTGACAGGGCAAATAGCACAATACGTTTCACTACCTTTGTGGATAGACAGTACATCACAGCCAACGATCTCTTCTACAAATCAGTCGATAAAATGGAAACCAACAGTGGACAGTTATTTCGTAGCTTCATTCGCTGCTCTTTCGTTCGTAATTGTATTTGGCTTTGCTCTTCTTTGCTGTAATATTATTTGCTCAAATAACTTGACGGAAATAGACTGGAGTTATCGTCGTTTGCTACTCCTGCTTGGTTCCATTCAAGGAGTGTCCGCACTATTTATTGTGTTTTCTAGCAGTGGGGAAAGGACACCTCCTTATTTGCAGGCAATTCTTGGAAATTTCAGCATTCCCATAACACTATTGTTCCGGTAAGAATCAAGTATTTTGGGCTACAAACCTATTCAGCTTGTAAGTTTTGTTTTCCCAATACAGGTCATGTGATAATAACTCTAGAGAACTGTTTCTTTCAAATTTCGTCTTATTCACCTGCATATATATGTACGCAAAATTTATGAGAGAACAAAGGGTCCAGTTCCCTTGAGACCTCTATTGGAAAACAAAACATACAAGCTAATTAAAAGAGGTCTATTTTGCAATTGCACGCATGTAGCAATATTATTATGCAAAGCTGCCGTAAATTAACGTTAATATTTACTTTGAACTCACCATCTGTCTTTTCACTGGCTAAGAGCCTACAATTAATTTTGGAAATCAGCGCATATATAAAACTCAGCCGTTGAGACCTCAGACTCCTAGATGTCTTGAAGACTCATGACTGGAAAACTCAGACTCCTGAAAAACTCAGACCCCTTTTTAATATCGATATGATCAGGGATGATATCACAGGGTGATTCAGGTCGACCATGACACTACTCCATCCTTCAGGGAATGACTGTGCATTTTAACACCACCGAGAGTTTTTCTATTTGTTGGATAACATACGAAAAATCCTAGTGACTAGAAAACATCTGTGTCCTGGAAATAATTTATTGTGCCTTGACCTGGAATGAACGAATACATGCATTATACAACCTGGTTAATTATGGACACCGATCGGGCATGTCATAGCATCTGTTGTTGACATTAAAACCTTTTCCTCTCGTTTGTTAGCTGGCAGCTGACTTGTTTGTTTCAATATGGTAGTCTATATTGTGACATGGTGAAAGTATCATGAATGCCTCCCCATCCACCCCCCCGGCACCCTCTCTCTTGCCGCTCGCTGCTGAGTCAGTTACATGCACTCTGCTATCTCAAAAAATAACAAAAATAAAAGAGAGTGGGACTGCTCGTGGTCTATGGTAAGTTATAATAATTTGAAAACATTGAATTTAAGGTGTGTGTTTTCGAGACATCCAAGGGTCTTGGTTTATTGGGGGTCTGAGTTTTCGTGACACCTCAACCTACAGATTCTGTAGGTAATTGGCATACAATGGCATGATTTCCAAGAGCATGTCATCGGTATGTTTGTCATTTTCTTTAAACAAATTATGATTATTGAGTAAAAATCAATGTTAGATTTGTTTGTTTCTTTGTTTGCTTTTTTGTGGAATCTTGAAAATAAGGTCTTGCTAAGATGGCTGAGGCCAATAACACTTAATTCAACCTTGATTATTCCAGATATCACAAAAACTTATTAAGTGGACATGCATCCCCTTTAGTTATGGTCCCTACATATTTCCTGTAAAGCTGATTAAACTTATATATCCTCCAATTATAGTGCTGAATCCACAGCTAAATTACATGTAATTTCCCTGATGACAAATCGTGTGTTAAAAAGGGGTTCCTGAAAGCCAAAGTATCCCAGGATTGATTTATATGAGATAAGTGGTGAAATGAACCAGCCTAACTAGTTTTTCACATGCATGCTTATGTGAAATATATGGTGTGAAAAATGTTTACGTGCAGGTCTCAGTAATACTGTACAATAAGAATTTGTAGTGCATGATTTTTGCAGGGGTACAGTTTCGAACCCTGGCCTCAATAGATGGAAGTTGGGGCTGGGCGACCTGCAGTGCTTGACACAGTAGATCTCTTCAACTTGTAATGTTTTGTTTTCCCACTAGAGGTCCGAGGGGAACTTGACCCTTTGTCTTTTCATAAATCATGCATGGATCATGCAATGTGAATAAGACAAAATTTGAAAGAAACGGTTCTCTAGAGTGTTGTTACATGACCTGTCATGGGAAAACAAAACATATAAGCGAAAGAGGTCTATTCATGTCAGAGCCCTCCGTTTCACTCAAGAAGACAAAACTCAGGCGAGGCTCTTCTTGCAGGGTGATCTAGGCCCTCCTGCATGCTGTAACTAATTGATCGTTGTTGTTGTTTTTTATTTCAGGTTTCTTTTTTTAAAGAAGATTCCCACCATGAGAAAGCTCCTATCTGCAGCCATTGTTGTCCTGGGTCTTTTTATTTGTCTCATTCCGACAATATTTCCATGTATAGATCCCAAAGCCTCAAACAAGCATGATCTGGGAGGAGCAACTGGACTTGCTAGAATCTTTTGGCCCATAGCTTTTATGTTTGGATTTGTAAGTAAGAAATTGGTTTCTTGCAAGTATTATATTGTATCTTAGTGTTTTTGTTTCTTTTTTTTATTATTTTTTTTTGTGGCAATACCTGTAAAATAGTGATACTTGCAATACTGTAATCAGCTAAGGGTATTAGACCACATTAAGAAAGATTACTTTCTTACTTACTTTACTTACAAGCAGTATGTATAATATAACCAGTGACTCTTCTTGACTGAATGTCTGATTCATTCATTGCCTTTGTCATTTTGAAGAAAAGAGAATTAAAGTGATATCCTAAGTATATCAATCCTCTTATTAGCATTTTTGTTATCACTTCAATGTAAGGCTATGCTCACACTACCGGATAGATTTTCGTGGTGCTATGAAAACCCTCCAAGTTGCGACCATTTTGGTCGCCATGGCGCCTAAAATTTTGGAGCTGGCAACTTGATTTGTAAAAAAGTCTCCCTAAACCAAAAGAGTTGATTGCCAAATGGCGACCAAACAAAAACTTTAACTTGGAGGGTTGTATCAAGAGCTGTCGGGTGTAGTATGAAGACCTATTCGATATGCGACTCTCTGCTTTGGCGATTGATGTGGCACAGCTTCTCTCCGTCACAGAAATCGCGCTGCCACAAACTTTCTTGTGTGTGGACAGAAGCTCCATCCAGTACGATTTCCATGGTGGTGCAAATGCTTGTGGTGTAGTGCAGAGATGCCAACCTCTGGAGACCTAAAATCGGGAGACTGTCTTTTTTTCACTTCCCCCCCGGAATTTCAACAACCCCCCACCTCCCCGACAAATTGACCCAGCCCCCAATGGGAATGACTTAGGACATTATATGATGTCTTACGTGATGTACATACTATCAAAATTCGAAATCATCGTTTTGATGCTAGAAATAATCTTTGTCACGATCAATGACTAAATACGTGCAAAAATGCCCCAGAAACCGTACTGCGAGTAAGAAAAATTCAAGTTTTTAGCTAAAAATGGGCTAAATCTCAAACTAAGTCTGTTTTATTTTTTACTAAGTATTCAATATTTATATTGGACGTAAAAAGCGGGAGATTTATGTACCAAAGCGGGAGAGCGCGAGACGAGGCAAAAAAGCGTAAGTCTCCCGCCAAAAGTGGGAGAGTTGGCATCACTGATAGTGTGAACCAAAAATTTCGCACCTCTGTTAGTGACATATACAGAACTCCTATGATTAGGTTAAGATCATAAAATTAGTTTGGCTGACAATTTGATGGCAAATGATTAGTACCATGCGGCTCCCCAAAAAATCTGCTGGCCGTCTGTTGGCTGACTTTCAACCAACAGTCGGCCGACAAACGACTGACAGTCAGCCAACAGAGCAAGGGAATTAACTTGTACATTCTGAGTCAATTTCTGCAATCTGTAGAGACATTCCAGAATCAATCTTTTGATCCTTTTTGCTTGAAATAATCCCTAGATGTGATGTGATGTTTTCATAAATAATTTTTTTACATAAATGTTAATATGTAAAATTGTAAAAAAATAGTATTCATTGCATAATTTTAAGGTAATTTTATATTTCATTTTCAGTAAATAATTAGAGTTATATAACTGTTAACTATTTCGTTCTTGTTTTGTTTTGTTTGTTTGTTTTATTTCTTTTAAGGGAATTACAGGCACTGCTTTTATTGTTGAAGAGAAAGCTGTGAAAATGGGAGGAAATGTCGGCCATAATTCTCAAGCTAGCTTGTTATCTGTCTTGTTCTGGACCTCCTTATCACAATTTCTAGCTTTGTTGCTACTATTCTGGACTGACATAATCCCTGGCTTTGGACATACAAACAACATTCATGAATTCATTGCCAAGTGAGTGCTATGAATAGCAGCCATTATACACCTTATAATAATATTTCAAAATCTCAGTGGCACTGTTTAATTTTTGTTTTAATTTTTAATGTGGCTATAATTTAGACAAAATTAACCTTGAAGCAATGCTGGTCAGCAGTTTCCCCAGCTATACTAGGGGTGGCCTGATGCCTCTAGCAGGGGCACCTCGTGACTTATATATGCAGTTGCTTGCTTGCAGTTTGTCGCAAAGTGTTGTTGCAATAGCTTGCTTTTTGCATGCCATTTTGTGCTTTGGGCTTTATGTTTGTTTGTTTGTTTCATTTCTGGCAGATTCGATTCAGCATTCGTCAATTAAAGTATATTTATCTGCAGTTCGCTCCTTGCACAATGAGCAAGGTTTTACTGACCCTTTGCTTAATTGCCTGTGGCTTCAATGAGTGTTAAGAGGGGTCAAGCGTTCCCAAGGTTCCCCGGCTGATCGGCACCTTCCGATTACTGACAGCCTTCTCTCGGTTATTCATTGGGCGTTGGACCTCGATATTTTTTATCATTGGGCCTTTTGGACAACCTGCATGCTGGGTTATTTTGGTTTTCTCCGTGCTGCAGAATTTACAGTCCCCAATTTAGCTAGCTTTTCTCCAGCTAGTCATCTATCAGTGGCAGACATTGCAGTGGATTTGCTCCAGTCGCCAACCTGCCTCCATGTTCAGATAAAAGCGTCAAAAATGGATCTGTTCCGTCAGGGTTGCCACATCCATATTGGTCTGGGAAGGGCACCCCTCTGCGCAGTTCAGGCCTTTCTGGCTTACCTCTCCTTGCGAGAAAATGTCCCTGGCCCCTTGTTCTTACTGGCGAATGGTCAACCTCTGTCTCGCTCAATCCTGACTGATTGGCTGCGGCAACTTTTCTCCACCGCAGGGATTGAGGGCAATTTTTTCCAGCCACAGCTTGCACATTGGGGCAGCCATGGTAGCAGCTCGCAATGGTATTCCGGACCACCAAATTCAGGCTCTTGGATGTTGGCCTAGCAATGCTTACCTGAGCTTTATATCTGCACACCTTCTGAAGCTCTTGCAGGCATCTCTAGTCAGCTGGCTTGACATCACGTGTCCTTGCCATTTGTTATCCACAGCTCCTTTGACATTGCAGTCGAGTTAAGTACTGAATTGCCCTGGGCTTGCACCGCGGTTTTTTGGTATTGCTCTCACTGTCAGCTGCATTCCGTTGGTAAGTGTGTTGTCTGTTTTTTTTTTTTTATGCAACTGCTGCCGCTTGGTGCTTGGGGTTGTTGAAGTCAGAGGTTCCATTTCACCCCTTTTTGCTGTCCCCTCCTTTTTCAAGCACCGAGGAGATTTTGGTTGGGTGGGCGCCGCTCGCAGGGTTGCCATGGATACCTCCTCCTCATGCTAAAACATTGCCCGGATCCACCAACTTTGTAGGCACCAAAGCCCAAGCTCATCTATTGGTGATGAGTTTAAATGTGGCTAAATGTAATTTAGGCAAAGTTAACCTCGAAGCAATGCTGGTTAGCAGTTTCCCCAGCTATACTATGGGTGGCCCGATGCCTCTAGCAGGGGCACCTCGTGACTTATATACGCAGTTGCTTGCTTGCATTTCTTCGCAAAGTGTTGTTGCAATAGCTTGCTGTTTGCGTACCATTTGGTGCTTTGGTTTTTTCTCATCCCTCCCTCCCTCTTGAGGTATGGGCCAGGTAGGTATTGGTCGGTAAGTATTCCACTGAATTGTTCATTGTGACTGTGCCTGGTAGGGGCCGCTCGCAGGGTTGCCATGGATACCCCCTCCTCATGCTAGAGCATTGCCTGGCTCCACCAACTTTGTAGGCACCAACGCCCAAGCTCATCTAATTGTGATGAGTTTAATTATATTTATGTTAATTAGCCTTCTTTGCCTCAATTGCACTCTTGCTGTAGAATTCAAGAGATAAATTTTACCTTAAAATGAGGCATCAAGAGTTAGTCATCATAAAGGAAATAATAAAATAATTTGATGCCATCTTGGAATAAAAAAAAATTAAACAAAGTAACGGTATTCGTTGTTTCAAACGTCAATCATTATCAGTATTATAATTTTTTAGGTGTTTCTTGTCAAATGCTTTAACAAGCAACTGACCATCTGATTTTAGTATAATAAGTTGTATTAACAACTGCGTCGCTGAGTGGAGGTAGGTGCCCGGGATGTCCAGGGGCTTCCACCTATGGCACGGCCAGCCCCTAGACAGAGTTACGCCCCCATGGCTGGCAAACCCGCGCCCTCCAGCCATGAGCCCCCACGCCAATGGAACCAGGCACCCGTCACACTGATAACAGTGGAAGACTTAAGGGGGGGAGGGATGGGGGTAAAAGAATGATCCAAAGGCTAAACGAAGAGAATGGCCGCCACGAAACAACTGTACTGAGCACATGGAGGTGATGCAAGCAAGGCTGACCGCGCTTGAGCCAAACGACCGACCGCTGACCACGCTCGCGCTCCTTGTTGTTAACTCTGTTAAATAAATATTTATTTAACCTCATTTATTGGGTTAGAGCCCTATAATGTGATTTCTCAGAAAACTTTAAAATAGTAAGTTAACGTAACTTGCATGTGCAAACAACAATGGAGAGTTCAGATTTAAAATAAAATTTTTGCATGTCCTATCGTTTGTTGTTGTTCTTTTTTTCACTCAAAGAACTTATTAAAAATAAAATAACTTTGAATTAGGCTAGGGGTGGTCAGATATCGATTCTTTTGGTACAGTCACTCCTGCCCCCGCAAAAAAAAGCCTGGAGCCCGGAGAGCCAAGAAAAGGAAGGATTTCCTGGCTTTCTTGGAAAGCCTGGGGTGTCATTCCAGGAAAAGCCTGGAGAGCCAAGAGTTCACTCTTGGCTTTCATGGAAAGCCTAGAATTTGTCTCAAGAGCAACAAAAGCCACGAAAGCCAGGATTACTGAAAATTTTCCTGTCTTTGAAGGAAAGGCTGGAGTGACTAACTGCAGTGTTGCCAAGAATAGCCAAGAAAGCAAGGAATGACATTTACTGAAATTTAAATTTCCTGCCTTTCGAGGAGAGGCTCAAAACACACGCAACCACACAAGAAGTGTAGTAACATCAGCATATATCTATGAGACCCTCCACTAATACATGTACTTGCACACAGTGAAATGTTTATTAACTGGACTTAAAAATGGTTTGTCAAAGTTTTCTTTCTGTCTTTGTCAAGTCAGTATTTGGTATCTGCCCAAGGAATTCTTAATAGTATATGGATTATTTTGTTATTCAAGGGTTATTTGAAAAGATCTGTTGAAACAAATCTGTTTTCGTTTTAAAGAGGGAAAATAATAACGCAAAGTTTCTTCAGCTGAGTGCTGAAGATGAACTCCTGACTATGATACCAAGCAATGATCAATATAAACAATGTAATTGCTAACCAATCTTCTTTTAGAATCAATAAAATTAAAGTAACGATGAAGAAGATGTTGTAAGCTCAATTTTTTTATTTTCCTGACCATTTGTTTTTTGCTAGCTGGACTTTTGGATTTCAGTGTGTATTTGGTGGAGCAGGTTGTTCCTCTGTGCCAGGTGTACTTGCATTTCTGTTTATCCTGGGTTACATCATGGCAGTCAGTGGTTTTGCTCTGCTTCTGCGCTACTCTGAAGGAGCAACATTGTTAGCTATAGTGTTGGTGAGTGTACTTCATTGTCCTTTAATCCTTTCACTCAATTTCATTTGTTCCGTTATACTACTACATGAGAAATATCTGCAATTTGATTGGCTTAGAGCAGTGGTATTTCAGCTTAATTTGAAATACCTACATGTGAAAATTACAGCTTTATGGGTTTAGTATAAACAAATAATAACATGATTGGTACGTGATATTTGGCATAAATACCACTCATGATATTTCAAAATTGTCTCAAAATTTACTCGCCTAACGGCTTGTGAAATTACAAATAACAATTTTGAATTATATCACTTGTGGTATTTATGCCAAATATCACTACAAATCATGCTATTACCTATACTAATTCATAAAACGGTAGCGTGTGAAATATGGTCATTATTTATTTATTAATCATAACTATAACAAAATTCTTAAATCTGATTGGCTATCAACTGCCCTGATTTCAGCCTTAATAGGACAGTTAAATAGGACAGTATGCGTCATGCCTAAGTAATTAGACAGTATGCGCCATCAGGCGTGTGCTTAAATGGCTTTTTTGTTTCACTGCTAGCAAAAAAATCTCGGAATTTCTTGTCTTTTGATTAAAAAAAGAGCCTCATATATATCACAAATTTTGTTAAAGTAATGATTAATTGGTAACAGAACCTCGTGTCGTCCAATTCGGTCTGTAATCATACTCGTGATTAAACAAATCGGACTCCCGCTACGCGGTCGTCCAATTTTGTTAATCACTCATATGATTACAGACCGAATTGGACTCCACTCAGTCCTGTTACCATTACTTATTATTTACTCATTTACTATTATTGTGATAATCATAGTTCCTTTGCCCGAGCACCCACTAGTGCAGGAATTTCCTGATTCAGCCCACGTTCGATATATTAAAATTCTAATGTGACTCTGAGGCTTTTTTATCCTTTTTTCTATATTTGGTTTGGTTTTCTTTGTGCTCAAGTCCCTTCTGGGAATTGCGAAACAATGGAGGCTTAAAAAGTTTGCAATTTTGACCCTAAAGTCTCAGAGTCATGTTAGAATTTTAATATATCGAACGTGGGCTATTAAGTCAAAAGAGTTTTTTTTTTTGTGGGGGGGGGAGATAGGGGAGGAAGGGGGGGGTTGATTACCTTGAATCATAAACTCAACCTAGAGGGTCAGCAGATGTCCTTAGTCTGAAGTATCACTTGCCGTCCATCCGTCTGCGTGGTTAGAACAACAAGCTGACAAACCTCCTGAACAAGCTTGGTGACAAGCCCAGGGTGTGAACGATACTTTTAACTGAAGAGTGTTTTGTTTTCATTTCAGTCATTATGCACTCCCCTAGGGTTTGTATTCTGGATGTTGTTTCAGGAGCACCCATTCCACTGGAACCCAACTTTACACACAAGTTCATGGTTCAGCATTGCTGCCTTGCTAATTATGGTTCCTGCTGCTTTCATATACAACACGGGGTGAGTGTAAGTTTATTAGTTTAAAAACTAGACTGTAAGCAGTCCACTCCATTCATAACCGCACTTTCCTCCCCTCTTTTCTTGCTTCATTTTTTTTTCTTCTGCTGGGCATTTAGTAGGCTTCATTTTGGTGGAAAAGTTTTCAGGGAAGGTTTTAGGATCTTAGGATTAGATGAAAGGAAAGGTAGGTGGGCAGTGGAACAAGATTTTCATGGAAATTTTCAGGTCAATGTTACACGGTTTTTTGCCTTTTTCTCCGGTGTCCGTGACTGAATTGTGCCCCTTCTGGTGTGGTTTGAAAGATCTCTTCACTTTGCACTTCACTCCTTGACCATTAAAACTGGTGACGTCACAAGCAGTAGAAGGGATGTGCATCCGCTCCGGTGGTTACGGGCAGCTCAGGGGCGAATTTGTTGAAAGAATAGATGCACTGCAAGCAGTAAATCAGAAACACATTTGTTGAATGGATATCATTATATCGGCTAATCTTGTTCAAATATTAATATTATTGTGTAGTGGGGAGAAATGTGTTGACTTCTGAGTGAAGTCTGTGCCTTTCATTTTTCTAGACTCTATTTAGGTGACTTCTTTGTTTCTTTTTTGTCTTTGTACATGCTACAAGCTTTTACACTACGCTTAAGATAAGCCATATAAATATTGCGAAGTTCCCCAATGATTGCATCACTTTATATCTCCCTTAGCTCTTTTTGCTCAATTCTCTTTTTTCCATTTAGGATTATTATTCTAGAAGTGCATTGTTATTTTTTTTTTATTCCTTTACACAGATCACCAGAGAGAGAAAGGGAAAGACAAGAAATGGCTCCTGCTAATCCTTGAAAAAAGTTTAAAAAAGTTATATTGACAATAAATCCAATTTGAGCTTAACTACCACTCAGAATTTGTAATAAATATATATTTATTGGCACCTAGGACACTTTCCAAAAGTCAGAACTTGCAGGACAGGCCGATCATTTAAAATGAAATTTAACTTTCAGCTGTAGGCCCTTTTGTTAAAATTCCGTCTCTCAGGATTCGTGACAGGTCATGGAAAACGTGGCAAAAGTCATGTTGAACTGAGTTATGTAAAAAATATATATACTGTATATCATAAACGAGATTTAGTTTTGAAACTAATAAGAAGGTCATGAAAAACTGGAGAAGGTCATGGAGAAAGTCATGGAAAATTATGGAATGTGAAGAGCTCACTACAAACCCTGTCACTTCTATGCATTTTGTTTAGATCTAGACTGGTCTGTCTTGACAGAAGCATCCCTACACTTTTTTAATTGCCTCATTTGTTCAGAATAATATACTACGCTCTCTTGTCCAAAATTTATCAAGTTCAAAATTTTATGAATTCCTTTCGCTGTCCTTTTTGTTTATTTGTTTCCCCAGTTTTATTTTGGGCAGCAAAATTGGAAATGAAATGAACCACAACTTACAAATGACCTTTTATTGGTATAATAATAATAATAATAATAATAATGGAATTTATATAGCGCTTATACATCGCTGTCCTAAGCGCTTTACAATGTAAAAAAGGACATAAGAATATCATTAAGCACAAGCTTACATATAACACTACCGTACATATTGGGAAATTTATAGCATACACACCTTAAAAAGGAAAGAAAACAAAAACGTATATATGTATATTTTTTGATATCAAATTAAATATTGACGTCAACTTATCTGTTAAGCATAATTTTGTACGTAAAAAATGTATTTTATAGGTATTTTTAGGACTTTTTAAATCGCAGTAATTATATCGTAACAACAATTCTTGTTTATTAAGATTATCAAAGTTATTCACTTCAGGAAGAAGAAGCGGGGAAATTTCTTTTAACCTCTCCATTTTTCTCACGCCTTAACCACTCGTTTACCTTGTTCCAACTAAACTGGCAGAATTGATATATGTTCAATAATCAAGGCAGCCAAGCGAATAAACGATTTTTTCTTAAAATAACTTTTTTCAAAGCTAGACGTATGTCTAAAGCCCCGTAACATTGTTGGCCAACAACTCCCAACACTGTTGGATGTCAGATGTTGCGTCCGTTTGCACAACCTGTTGCTTGTGGTTGGGAGTTCTGTTGTTGCGGAAAGTTTGAAACCGGTCAAACTTTTAGGTACGTGCAAACGGACGCAGCAACTCCCAACAATGTTGTATGAGGTTTTTGGTTCTAACGCTATGGCCACAAAACTTTGGAAAGAACTACAGATATCATTAAGCATTAAAAAGGTGCGCGGAGCTCACCCGGGAGCTGAGGGCGGAACCTGGGGAACGAAATTAGTCTCCTTTGTTTTGTATCCCTCGCTCTAGCTCTTTTTGTGTTATCCACGTCAGAGTAGACATTAAAAGTCAGTTTATTAAAGACTCGGCTTTGTTTTTGTTGTTGATGTTGTTGCTTTTTTAATGCTCTCTAAAAGTCCGTACGCGTGGGTGCGTCAATGCGAAATTTCATTCCGGCTAACATCCACATCAAGAGGCGTTAAGTACGGGCGTATGGGCGGACGGACGGTCCCGAGACAACTAGATTTTCTTGCATGATATAATTCCATTTTCTATAGTAATGGAGGCTCTGCTGCGCGCGCTTAGCGCGTTCGATTGCGTTCGATAAGCTATCAACTACCAGGCCCCAGTTGTTCAAAAGTTGGATAGCGCTATCCACCGGATAAGTCGCTATCCCACGGATAAGTGTTAGGGAAACCAATTGCGCTATCCAGTGGACCTTTTGAACAACTGGGGAAACTGGGGCCAGATCAACTAGCGAGTCCCCAGGGTCTTCTCATTCTGCAATAGACCGTTTGGAATTAGGTGGCCCGCGGATACCCTTGTAGCGGTAAACGCGTCATGTAATTGCATTCATCCTAAACAAATATGGCGTCTGATCTTCAAGCGCTTTCTGGTTACAAAGTCGGCGAAATTTCGCAAGCACTCTTTACGAATCAGGAGAGCAAGACGTACTTGAAAAAAAATGTTGAACTCAGTGCTCTGTTTAGTTCTACAAATCCATCTCAGCCGGCATTTGTGGCCGTACCATTAAAGGTAAGATTGCGAAATGAAGGTTACCTGAAACTTAACCGTACCGTGCATGTGTTGGTTAAGCTTTACGCTTGTGCGCGTTTTTCTCAATACACGGTGTTGTGGTTATAATACGTTATCGAAGTTTATAGGAGTAAGGATTGAATCGAAGAAAGAAGTGAATTCACAAACGATCAAATTAAAACATGTAGTCTTTGTTAGCAAACCCTAAACTGGAAGACATAAGATTGTTTTCGAATCACATTTACGGCAAACGGGAGACGTCAAATTTAAGCGAAAAATTTCTCGAAATAGTGAATGAACAGATGAAAACAGCTCAAAACAATTGTTACGGATAATAAAGCTGGCGTGAAACAACCAATTTTTGTGTAAAAGTAAACCAACTACATGTATCAGTATAAACCCCGTGTGGGTGGTCTGGGGAGGGGGGGGTCGGGGTTTGGGTTTTTGTGCGGACAAAGAGTGGGGACTTGATCAAGGAGTGAAAATTTTGGTCAATTTCCCGATGGTGGGGAAGGATACATTTGTCACATGTAGCTAAAAATCCCCACCCAGGGGCAAAATACTAACTGACCGACAGAAATTTATTTCACATACCTTTCGAGTCTGATTCAACCTAAGGCAATGTTTCATGGTAAAACACTTTCTTTAGTCTTCAAAAATGAGTGAACTTTATTGATATATTTGTTTCATTCATTTATCAAAGGCTATGTGCTTCTAAAATGTCACCAAACTTGCTAGGAAACAGACTTTCTTAAGGCCCATGTCCAGTTTCTGCTGGTTAGGTGGTCAGTTGTGAAACAAACATTTCTTGGGCGCAGCACACTATATTTGACCGGCCAGTTTGCAGCCTGTGAAAACAGCTGTCTCTCCTTGCTCCTTGCTGCAACACATGTGGGAGAGACATCTGCAACTGCTAGCAGAATCTTTCGTTTACTTGCTCAATGTTTGAATACTTGAGAAATAGTCTGCATGAATCATTAAGATTTTTGCATCTGTTGCTGGGATAGTTTTCAACCCAGGCCTAATAGCAGTGTGCTTGGTACAGTGGGTTCAATTATTACCATCGGTTTATCAGTAAAATTAACGGATACGCCTGCTTGGGAAGCAAGAAAGAACAAGAAGTTTGGGCTTTGGCATTTTCAAAGGCTTGACAGGATTCAGATAGATTGTCCTTGCACCCCCTCACTCAAGAAGACAAAACAGGCCCTGCTTGCCCGATGAATAAAGTTTACATGGTTAATCTTGTAGTCATGGGGCTCCAGATGTAAATATGTTCTATTTTTTTCTGTCTTGGCCAATTATGGTAAAGTTTTGAGTTCTTTATCTGTGGACAAGTGGCAGCAAGGGAGAGACAAGCTAAGAATTCATTTCATTTGCAATAATTATTTATTTTTACTACTGTACTGGGAATTCCCTGTTGTATAACTTGTAGGTATCAAGGAAGAAAGAAAAAGAGACTCTTAAGAGTCATGAGAATGAGAATTCACAGGCAGGCACAAAGCAAATAGGAGGTACATGGCTGTAACATTATTATAATAGTGCTGTGGTTGTTTCTTTTTTACTGATACAGTCTTCTGTTGTCTGAATAGATTGTTTAATACCTGAGCAACCTTTAGTGATTTAAAAGAATGTATGAAAACAAATGAATTCGCACTACTTCAAACTTTATCACACTTATTCCAACTCATTCAATTTGTTGAATGTTAGAAAATTTGTTTGTAGTTGAATTCTGAAAGACTGTATCAAAGTTCAGGAAAAGAAAAAGAAAGTTATTGTCTTGAGTTCACGTCCTTAGGCCCTTTCACCTTATAGTTGTTGTAGATAATTTTTTGTCTCAGTTAATTGTTGTTTTCTCAATCTAAACCTATTGCTTTTTTCCCATCCTGATTGCCGTTGCCTTCGTTGTTGCTTAAGCTCCCTAATATTATTGGGCAACTACTTAACCAGGGTCACATAGACAAAGTTGAGCAATAATTATTGGATCACAGGAAAACAACAATACATTCCAAGAAAGTTGGTTAGGGACCAATCAGGAGGTCGAAAGAAAAACAATAAGTTATTCAAAGCATCAAATTTAAATATTGATAGTAAACATTTTTCAAGAAAACAAAATGTTTCACCAGACAATGTTTTTCTATTCGAAACTTTTCATATAACACCCCGGAGACATATTTGTTTGAGACATGCTGTTATTTTGTCATCTATCAGCAATTTCTTAAGCGCAATTTCAAGTGCTTGGCAATAAGATCACGACCTCAAGTAAAAATTATTACTAACGTTTACATTTTTTGGACCACCGTCATACAGACCTCTCAGGAAACACACACATTTTTCCAGCGGGTTCAAAAGATCATGTCTGTAGGTTGTATTTGGCTGATTTCGATCCATGTTGTTTAATTGTAGTAATTAATTATTATGATTGACAACTAACGTTCTCGGAATGTATTGTTATTTTCCTGTAATCCGATCGGTCAACTTTGTCTAGGTGGCCCCAGTGATACATGTAGCAATTGCACTGTAATATTCTATGTATTTTTCTTACTTTAAATTAATGGTTTTTGAGGTACACATAAACTAGATTATGAGACAAAACATAAAAGATAGTAAAAATAGAGTGAATGTGGCCCTCGGATACAGTATATTTTCCAATCATAAAAAAAGTCTCCAGGTTTGAAAGTTGCTAGCAACCATTATATTTGCAGGGGACTAAACTCAATTAAAGTCGACAGGGATATAAATGAGCAGCCATCGCTGTCCTTGTTGCTTAAGCTCCCTAATGATTCTTCTTAAGGCCTTTGCAATTGCAATGTTTTGATGTTTTGGGTTTTATTGTTTTGTCTTCTAGTGAACAGATCAACAAGGAAAAGGAAAATACCAACAAGGTAAGCAACAACAGGACCTATACTTTGGTATGTAATAAAAATTGTGTTATCCTCAACCTGCACCTACACTAAAAAAATTGAGCCTCCGTATGGATACCTGCAGACAATGATTTTGTTGTGTATTTTCCAGTTGTGGGCAGAAATTAAACTTCATTTTCCATTACTTGTTTTAAGTGATGATGAAGATGAAGAACTGATAAAGAAAGCTAGGAAAAGAAAGAAGAAATCTAATGAAGCAGAAGAAAATCCAGAAAGACTAGCTAGGACTGTGTTTGTTGGAAATCTACCCATAGAATTCACAAGAAAAGTAAGTGACCCCAGTAATAATACTATATGCATTATGCACTCCTTGTATCTTAATCCATCTTCAGATCCAGCTTCTTAACCCATTTGCCTGTAATTGCCCCTGTAGATCCACGTCTGTGGCATGGTCTAGGACAACAATGTCAACCAACTTGTGCAGGGGAAGAAATCTTTCAAATGATGCCAGAATGAGCATGATTCAGTCAAGGAGGCCAGAGAAAAAGGCCAAAAAAACATGTATAGTTGACGTGAAAATTCCCATGAAAATCTTGTTCCACTGCCCACCTTCTTTTTCAGGCATCTAGTCCTTAAAGTTTTTCCAAAAAATTTTCCCACCAAAATGAAGCCTAGTAAATGCTCAGCAAAAGAGAAAAACAGGTCAAGAATCTGATAGAAGAGAACGGGGAGGAGGAGGGAAAACGAAAGGGAAAAGTTGAAACCGCGGTGTCACTTAAATCCCAAAAAACTATCTCGATTGTGCTTTCTGCACATGCCCGAACTTCAGAAGGTGATATTTTGCATCATCAGAAACAAAAGGCCACAAAGTGCATTACCTGCAAACATCCAATTGGTAATTTTTGCTCTTAACTAGCTTCAAAATGCATTTTCGGGCAAAATTCCCAGGAATGAATGTATTATTATTGTACTATTTTTATTTAATTTTTGACCATGGAGTTGTTAGTTTTTATGAAAATTGTATTTTCAACTGACAAGATTTTAAGGGCAATAATTTTTTGTGGAAAGTTTTTTCTTGTTAGTTGTGAATAAAACTTTACAAGCCCCCAAATTTATTACTGTTTAATCATTTATTCTTGCTTTTTTAGAAACTGAAAAAGTTGTTTGCTGTTTATGGCGAAGTGGAGAGTGTGCGATTTCGATCAGCAGTAGGTACCTTTAATTGGATAAACTGTTGTACCTCCTGTTCAAATTTTTTCTATTCAAATCAATGTAACTAGGTGGAACATGATCGCCTGGTTGAGTGTGGTCCTGAAATAGACCAGTTCAGATGGCTGACCCTTAATATTATTATTTTAGACTGACTGAATTGATTCAGATACTGATCTTAACTCCAGTGGAACTAAATTCATAGGGAGAAAAATGCTCATTTCAGTCAAACTTCTTAAAAAATGCATTATAATAATTTTATGCATTAGGTTTGGTACATGGAAAGAAGTTCAGCTTCTGAAACAAAGTCATTCCAAAGTCCATTGAAATTCTCGGCCGGGCTAGGCGGGAAGAATAGCTGAGCCATTCCAAATTGAAATAGGTATTCCTATTTGATTCAGATGCCGACCGTTTCATGTACTTAATTCCGGTCCATGCACTGTATTAGGTTCGGCTCATGAAAAGTTTGGCAACTGAACTGGCATGGGCCTTACATTACAGTGACTGACCTTTCGACAACCTTGTTTTGACAACCTGTGCTTTGACTCTGAAGATGACTAATGCACAGGTTGCCGAAACATCAATCAATTCAACAACAGTCCTATTTAGGACAAGGCTATGAACCCGGATGATCAAATTCCACCTACTCACATGTATGAAATGACTCCAGGGTTCAAACCATTCACTTCAAGAGAACATTATTAATATTTTGTGGTTGTTTAAACCATCATAACTTTAGGAGTGTTTAAGGTTAGCAGTCATGGAAATTACCCTTAGTCATGTTATGATTATAATAAAAATGAATTAATTTTATGGCAACTTGATCTAGTTCTTGATAAAATCCATCTTCAGGTTACAACAGATTTTCCTTTTCCCAGGAAACAAAATCCTGCATAATGAATACAGTTATAAGCTGAGATGAGTATTTTTGGAGAAAAACATCCACATTTATGGGAAAATCTTTTGGAAAGAATTATTATCAAAGCTTTTTAGGTTGCATTGTATTAAGCAATAGAGTCTTGAAAAGGGTTTTATTAAATTTTTGACTGTCCTCCTCGATCACTCTTACATGTAACTAATCCCTAAGTTAAAGAATTATTTAAGAGTCGCGAGCTTTAGAGAAATTTAAATAATATGTTCAAAATTCAATTGAATTATAATGCATAGCAAATTAAACATTTAAAGAGAAGCACCTAAGAATTCAAGCTTGAATACATGAATAATTTATCATAAACCAAACTGTCCTGTAAACATTTTAAATGATACTCATTATTTTTTGCAATATTTAACTACTAAGTTTGAGTTATTGAAGTTACTTAATCAGCCAAAAACTTCAAGCTAAATTCTAAGTCATTTCTCTTTTTTTTACATTACCTTTTAAGTTTATATTTAATTTTCTTATATCATTAGATGTTTTTGTTATTGGTATTATGTGACTTTTGAAACATAATCGTCATTATTTTGTCTGTCAATGTTTTACGTAATTATTCAGTTTACTGATGGAAAAATAAGCAGTAAAATCCAGGGACTAAAGCAAAAAGATGTGCAAGTTATAAAGTAATATTTTCTCCTTGAACTTGTGAGCCAGCTTCTTTCATAGTGTAAATTAATTAATATTTTTTTAGTTCTAAATTAGATGAGAGATCCAGTATTCTAAAACTAAAATTTTCAATTCAAATAATGTTTTTTTATAGCAATATAAATTATTGATACAATTTGGTTTTATGTGACAGCTATTTACATTTATCATAAGTTTGTTTTTGTATACTTTAGTGGTAGTTTTCTCTCACCAAGAAATTTGAAAAGCCCTAACTTAAGGAGGGTTTTTCATTCTTTTGCTTGCTATGGACAACCCTGACTCTGAGAAGAATACAAACTGCTGTTAGAAAATCCTTCGAAATTGCATCAAGGAAAAAATTAGACACTTTGGATTTAATAAGGAAACAGATTCAGCAGATTCCCAGTGGATTGGACAAGTTTGATCTTAGCAATCTAAAGTTTCTTTACTTAGAAGGAAACATAATTTCCTTTTTACCAGAAGACTTTTTCCCTTGTCTTGCAAGTTTGGAATGGCTTGATCTAAGGAACAATATACTTTGTGAAATTCCACGAAATATTGGACAGCACAAGAAATTGAAAACGCTGTTGCTAGGGAGAAACCAACTTAAGTTTTTACCAGCCGAATTAGGGTTAGTGAAAACACTGACTGGACTGAACTTATCTGATAATCCTCTTGAGGAACCACCGCAAACAATATTAATGAAAGGCATTTCTGCTGTTCAAGTGTATCTACTTGAAAGGCTTGGGATTTATCCAGAAGAGGAAGAGGCTAGTGACAGTGAATCAGACCAACAGAGCACTATTGAGAGTGGAAATCATTTACAAGCTGGTTGTGAAGACGTTGACAATGAGAGTATGAGCAGCATTGTGAATGAAAAGGAAGAAATTCCCCACAGAAATTTAGCTGAAAATCATCCTATGATGCAGTCTGTTTCACCACAAGCTGCCTTGGCTTATTATGGGGCACTGCTTGGCGAAGTTCCGCATTCTTACATCTTTAAGCCATGGAAAACTGGAGTCTTTTTAAGGAGAGAGCAAATGACAGATGATCTCAATTCAGCACATGATGTGGATGAAGATAATAGCAAATATTAATTGTAGCAAATGACTTTGACCTTTTTTTTATTTTTTTCCTACAATTTGCATGCGAGCATTTGTGAAAACTGGTGTCTTTTCCAGATGGAGTTGGCTTAAGGCCATACCATTATTTATCTGCACTGTAACACAAGTGAAATCTGTGATATGAGAGATGCATAACTCTTTGTATCATAGCCATCATCATCATCATCTTAAATATTTAGTGCAATTGTAAAATTTGGTAGAAATACGGCAAAACAATAAAATATGATTAATGATATGATCTTAACTTTATACTTTGTACAGCTAGTTGAAATACTGTTGTCTCAGAGATTGGGAAAGCAAAATAGACAAATGGGCCTATGGCCAGTGACTTTGAAAAGTTGTGTGGGCCATTTCATTAAAGTATGGGTGGGCCGGATGAAAAGGAAACGGAAATGATCTGTGATCTCAGTGAAAGCATACACGTTTACATGCAGTATTTTTAATATGATTTAAGTACAGAGTATTTTTGCAGTTTTTAAGTACTGCATGCATGTTTGTGATCCATCAGTTCCTTGTGTCTTGTCATGTGCAAATGTTTTGCAACCAGAGGTCATGGTATTTTTTTTTTGCAATGTTTGAGGCAAAACTCTTTTACTTGCAGGCTGGGAAAGTGTGGTGGGCTTGCTTTTTTCGCCCGTCGGATTCATAAGTCGCATCGGAATTGTTGTTGTTGTTGTTGTCATTTTTGTGATCGATCTTGGTGGACTCGCTGTTCGAATTCATGCTTAAAAAAAACATGAAAGTTTTCTTTGGCCTTGAGTATCTAGGAAGTTTCTTTGGAGGCATTAATTATCTCAATACTTAAAATGCAAATGAATGCATTTTGGCCAGAAAGATGAAAACGGAAGTGAAAGTCTGATCTCAAAGCACTTTGTCTGGACCGAACCTTGTTTGCAGGCTATGTGCAAGTAGAGATCTGGGGACAAAAATAAATGAACACGAAAGATCGCCAAACAAAGGAGTAAAGACACCGGTCGATGTTTCATGTTTTTATTTGTTGTAACACAATAATAATGGTCAGATTGAAGTGTTTATTAACTATTACTCGATTAGGGCGCATGCTGGGCTCAGACATTTTCTAAATTTATGTGACATATGCGCCTGGTGCATGACCTTTCCTAATAGTTGAAAATTTACACTCAGATAAATTTATTAAATACACTGATGAGTTCTTTTGATAAATTAACATTTCCAGTATGCAATGTTTTTCAGTTGGTAACAAACTAAGATGTACTTATCAATGGTATTTCCCCTTACTCAGTAATAATTAGTTACACATTTTTCTATTTAAAATTGTCTCCAAACTATACTAAAAACTTGTAATCAATTTGAAATTGTAATATAAATTATTTATTTTCATATCTAAATCCTGAAGGGTCACATTTTGATTCACTTGTGAAAATCTTATTTGTTTGAACTTGTTATGATTTTTCTTTGTTCACAGGCATTAGCAAAACCTGATCTGTCAAGAAAAGTGGCCATGAAAAAGTAATAATATAGCTTTTTTACCAACTTGCGCAGTAGCTAATTAAAGGAAGGAAAATCTGATGGGCTTGCAATTGACTGACTGGGTGTGTGACTTTAGCTAGCTGATTGACTAACTGATCAAACGACAAACTACTAGACTCAGTTAGACTCTTACTGACTGAAAGATTCCTTTACTCGCTGACTAAACTGGCTGGCTGGTTGATCTGGATGGTTGACTGGCTGGCCGTTGCTGACCAACTGGCATGGCAGGCTAGCTGACTGGTTGAGTAGTGATCTGAATAGCTGACTGGCTGGCTGGCTGACTAGCTGACCAATTGGCTGGCTAACTGACTGACTGATTGACTGACTGACTGACTTGCTGGTTGGCTGGCTGGCTGGTTGACTGGTTGGCTGGCCAACAGGCTGACTGGCTGGGTGACTGACTGACTGACTTACTTACTGGTTGACTTATTGATAAATGACTGGGTGAATGACTGGCTGAGTGGCAACTGTCTGACTGCTATGACTTCCTAACTAACCAACTCTGTGACTGACTGATGGTTGGTAAATTGATGTATTGACTGGTCTTTATACTAACGGCTGTTTGGCTCACTTTGTTTTTTTAGGAGAGAGTTTCATTCAGACAGGCACAATATCAGTGGCTATGTTGTGTTCAAAGAAAGGGAATGTGCTGTCAAATCATTGAAGAGGTACTTTCATTTGTAGAAATTCTTGAAATGGATCTTAAGGTTCTTTTGAATATCAAGCTACACATAATGCCTTTTCTTCTCTGGAGAAAATGTTTTGTTTGTGTTTATAATAACTCTAGTGTACAATGCACAAGGCCAAGAAAGTTCTGAAAATGTTAACTCAAAATGCACTTATAAACTAATATTAATGTGTAAGTGTAATTTATGACCTTTTACTTGCCATTTGTTCCCATTTTCAGCAATGGAATGGAAGTAGATGGTTTGCACATCAGAGTAGATTTAACAGGTCAAAATAATAAGGTAATTAATATTATCCATAACATTTCTCCATTCTCACTTGTTTTCCATTTATCCGTCATCAAGAAAATTGATAACAGTCAAACCTGCACTTTTTCTGAGTCAAAAATCTTGTTTAAGAAAATTTAAGAGAATTTAAGAAAACACCCCAGTGACTTTCGAATGTTTCCAGTGATTTTCTTCAGACTTAAATACGAGCATTACCAAAAATGTCCGAAGATTATCAAGCAACTTTTGAGTAGTTCTGAATCAATAATTATGTCAAGGACGACGATATTTTTATTTTAGTGTGTTGTGATACAGTTAGGAATAAAGTCAACATTAAGCACCTTTTTGGAATATTTTTGGGGAAATTGAATTGAATTTTTGTTATTGATCGTGCTTTGAAGAACAATTTGTCCGGATTTGTGTGTTAGGCATGCATGGTTAGCTCAGTTGGGAGAGTGCCAGTCTGCTGAGCGAAAGGTCATGGGTTCAAACCCCAGCCGGACCAACACTCAGGGTCTTTAAATAACTGAGAAGAAAGTACTGCTTTTGTATGTAATGACATCTGCAAACAGATAGACTTTCTTGTCTTCTCAGATAAGGACAAAAAACCATATGTCCCATCTCACTGCACTTTCACTTATGTGGTTCTTCTGGGCTGTAAAAGAACCCACACCACTGTTCAAAAATAGTAGGGGAGGTACATAGACCCTTATGGTGTGGCCAACCTTTCTTGGGCTGGGTGGGTTATTGCAAGCTTTGCTGTGCTACAGTATGGCAGAAGCAAGACTTTCCCGGGCATAACTACAATAATGTTATTTTGGTTATTTTACTTGCCTGAACTTCATTTGAAATCTGAAACCAATTTATTCGTGCTATAGATGTGCTAGGGTCATTCTACATTCCAGTCTGCTTCTGAGCACAGCAGCAATGTCCCTTATGATCAGCAATGTCCTTTATGAAATCTCCAGTTTAATGGCCACCAGTCCAGCTACACTTCTAGTACGGCAGCGGCCAGAATTATCATTGTCCCAAAGAAGGAACAAACTGCAGTTTTCATACCAGTCACAGGCAGTTTGAAACTTTATAAACTAACTACTAAAGGAATGCATCAATGTTTTTTTCTCTTCAGCATGATCATAGAAGGTCAATATTTGTTGGAAATTTACCATTTGGTGAGTTAATGATTCTTCACATAGACCGTAACTATAGAGCTAAATGTAACTAGAGCTAAATTTAGAACTAAATGTTTTGAAATGTATTTAGCAAATTACTGCTCTGTTTGACTATGTTCTCTGGTATATCAGATTGTGGGTTTGTTTTTAAACATGATAACATTAAAAGTTTGATATATCATGAATAGGAACTCTTACTGACTTCTGCCTTTCTTTCCAGGAGACTTGTTAAAAGTTCATGATAATGATATGTGTACTTTCTAACTGTTCATTAATGATGTGAATCAATTTAGATACAGAAGAAGAACCACTAAGACAAGTGTTTAATGACTGTGGGGAGATAGAAGCTGTTCGTATTGTTAGAGACAGTAAAACTGGTCTTGGCAAAGGCTTTGGATTCATTCTTTTTGAGGTATCTGTTTTAAATGCTTGAGTACTAATAAGTTTTTTAATAATTTACATTGGCACTTGAAAGAATGTGCACAATGTACAAATTTTGGAATATATTTTCTGATAAGAATTGTAATTTGTTTACCCGTGAAGCACTTAGAGTTCTTATGAACTCGTTTAAACGTCTCTGTGCGTTCCAGATTGAATTGGAATTTGGAAGTGTTAGTTTTGAGGAGAGGGGATAACTGGAGTACCTGGAAAAAAACCTCTTAGAGCAAGGGAGAGAACCAACAACAAACTCAACCCACTTATGGCTTTGACTCCAGGATTTGAACCCGGACCACATTGGTGGGAGGCTCCCTTGTTTACATTATGTTGATCGGTAAGCTCAGGCATCAGCATGCAATGGTGCCACTGGCTGCTGCTATCAATTCAGGGGGAGGTAATTTATTTGTTGTTGGATTTGGCTTTCGTATGACCTGAAGAATTATGCATGTCTTGGAGGGTGTTATGGGCCTTTGTCCCACAGCAGCCATTTTGTTCCAAGAGACTAAAGTAGCTTTGTTTTACCTGTCTGGCCTCGCTCCCAAGTTTTTCACTGCGAGGTCGAGGGTGGTAAAACAAAACTTTTTTCAGTCTCTTGGGACAATATGGCTGCCGTGTGAATAAGGCCCGTTGGCTGAGGTGGATATCACCCTTCGAGATCTGCATGATTCTTGTGCTCATGCAAAGCCTGAACCAATAATTATTGAATAAGAAAACCATAATTATTATTGTTTTATTATTCATTCAAAATAATTCATTCTTCTTCATTTATTATTGTTTGTAAGATAGTATTCAGTTACTCATGACAACCAATTTTACAGGAGAAAGATGCAGTAATGTTTGCCTTAAAAAAGAACCAGACAGAGTTCCGTGGCCGAGCATTGCGAATCTATCCATCGACAGAAAATCCACAGCAAGGTAGACTGATTTAACACAAGAGGTGTATTATTTAGATAAACTAGAAGTTCATGAAGTTGAAGCTTAGTATTGGTACTACAAAATAATGTACATGTAAGCTATTAAATCAGTCCAGTGTTGCACATTGGATTGACTTATGCAGTAGACAAGGAGTGTCTTGGTCATTGCCCACTCCTTGTGGTTTTATCAGGAAAACAGGTTTCTGAAAGGCCAGTGCAAGCTCTCTGAGCAGCCACAGTCATCATTATTTATTCACAGTTGTTATGAAAACCCCACTTTGAGCTCCCTGGTTGGAACTACTCCTCTATGAGAAATTAATCAACTCTTTTTATCTCCTTCCTATAGATGTGTTTTCTTACAGAAGCTTGGGATGCAATGTTATGATACGCGTATTTTTCTGTTTCTTTCTCACTTTAGGTCATTCCAAAGATGTCAAAGGTCGTTCCAAGACATATTCATTCAGTGGGATCACTGCCAAACGTGGACTTAAAAAAGAACGTAAAGGAAAGAAGAAACAAAAATTTGTAAGAGGCTACAAAGGAAGCCAAAGTGCACAAAATAGCTATGGTGGTGGCAAAAAACCAAAGCATAGAAATGAGAAACTGAACAATCCTAAGAACAGAAACAGAACAAGCAAATTTTCAAAGGACAGTTCCAAACAGGGTAGAAACAAGATGAAAGGGAGGCCTTCTTGATGACTAGCCTGCATCACAGGCAAAACTAAACTCTGTTAAGTCCACCTGGGAAACAGTGCCAATATCCTTCTTCTGGTCCCCAGCTCTGTACCAGGATTTGATTATGTGCCATGATTGGCCTGTTCAAAAAGCCATTGTCAATTTGCCAATCATTGAAATGCACTTCTGCTAGTTCGTTGAGTTTGTTGGGGGAGCCAGAATAAGGCTCTTAGCACAGCTTCACAGACGTTACTAACTAAAGTTAAATTACGTCTGTGACACTGCCTACCTAATAACTGGTGGTGTTCTAACAGCGTTTGCTCGTTACTTGTCAGTACTGTCAGTGGAACCTTAATTTAATGAAGTGCCAAGTGGAAGTGGACTGGGGAAATTTGTTCATTATCGAGGGTTGGTTGTATCAAAAACCTTGATTAAATGAATTTTTTGGAAAATATATCCAATACCCAGCATTTCCGGATCTGAAGGATTTCTTTAAGAGACATTTGTCTCAGTACAGAGCTGTACAAAGCTACAGCACTAGAAACACAAGAACAGGCAAACAAAACTGCTTAGAACTACTGTACACATAAATTTTATCCTCGTTGGTCTATTTTACATTCACCTTTAGCTATCTTTCGGTGACATGTTGACAAAAGTCATCTATTTTTTATGTCCAGGTGTATTTACGTTGGTGATTCTGGAGTAGATTGTGTTTGTTGTAACGAGGATTTCATTAAATCGAGGTTCTGTTCCATATATTTTATTGTAATTTTGGCCAGGCTGAAGAAAATGTTTATTGTAGAGGTTATTATAGAGGTTCGTTAAATCGAGGTTTCACCATAGTGGAGTCAAACCTTTAAAAGAGTCACGCTCAATAAAGGAACAAGGCAGTTAGACCCTTTCATCCCCAATATTCACTTACAAGCATTTCCAAGCATTTCCCATTGGCGATTACTTTACTAATTCTCATAACCCTCTCTCTTGATGATTTATTGATTTTGTAAGGAGTAAGTTGATGTTGGTCACTCCAGCGACTGTTTTAAGTGATTTACTTGACATTATATTGTCCGCTGGGACTCAGGTGTCTTGCCACTAAATAAAGGTTCAACTGTAATAAGTTTATTTGCATAGTTGCTAGTTGATGTCTGTTAGTTTTTTTATGAATTGGGACCCAGATGAGCTGCCTGTGTCACTTAGTCAAAAATCATCTTTCTCATAATATATTCACCACATCTCTCTACCTTTGAACTAGCATTCTGCCTCCTCCTTCTTCTTCTTCCATTTGCATTTTTATTCAAATTCAGGGCTGACCTCTAGCAACACCCAGTTGCCCTGGAACCTTGCTTTTGCTGTTGGGCAACTAGGAAATCTTAGTTTTAGTAGAAAAGTCATTCTGAGTTCCCCAGATTTCACGGGCTCAGATCATTGATCTTCCTACAGTTTTTCTTAGAGCTCTGCCTTGAAATTATGTATGTCAATGAGTTTGCCATGAATTCTGTCAACCACTAATTCTTCCTAAATTTTTTAATAAACATATGTTTAAATGTTAAAAGATTAATTGTTTTGTTTTGTATCTTAACATATTTTACATTCCTGGCAGTCAGCTCATTCACTGCCTTTTAACGTCTAAAATAAGAAGAAAAACCCTATATTTCATTTTAAGATGCCCCGTAAAATATCACCAAAAAGAAGGGATGTTGTAAAACTTAATCTTACTAATCTAAAAGCGCTATCTATAAATGAAAAATTAATAAACATAGTAAATCTTACAGACTACATAGTATCATCCATCCACTTGGAGCTACGTAAACTACTGACCAACTGTGAGTTGACTGTTGGCAACAGTTAGCCAACTTTTGGTTGTGGAGAGTTGTTCTTCAAAATTAAGCTGAAATATCAGGAAGAAGAATTCTTAGGAGATCATTATTTTTATTGATTGACTTCAAAGTAACCAGTTGGATCTTTTAAAAATCTCATTCCATTTTTAGGTTCTCTAACTGATGTATGTCCAACAATAACAAGAGCGTGTTCTTTGCAGTGGACATCAAGCCCTTCGTTATCGTTGGACATACAACAGTTAGAGAACCTGAAAATGGAATGAGATTTTTAAAAGATCCAACTGTTATTGGTATAAGTGTTGACTTGACTTTTTTGTCCTCGTTAGTTGGGGATATAACAAGTCAGTGTTAATTCTGGGTACAATGTAAGGTGTTTCTCGGGAGAAAAGTAAGATAGAAGTAAATAGAGTGATAGTTATGTTGACTTTGCAGAGAAGCTCTTTTCATACTTCCAATAAATGCCATTAGCATGTATTGAAAACTGGTATGCCAGAACCCCTAAACATACAACAAATTAATAAAACTGAAAAGAAAGAACATTATTCTAATACTGCACAGAGATAGTCTAACAGCTAGGGTTTCTGTTGGTCTTGCCGGGTTTTCTGTAATGATCCAGAACGTTCTGGGGTGTTTCTTTTTTCTGTTGTTTTTGCTTCTTGTACAGTGTTACAGGTTCATTTCTATGGTTTTAGATGCATTTAATCAGGCTGAGAGTAAGAGTTCACTTACCTCAAAGTTTCTTTAGTCCCTGTAAAACTGAGGGCTGACAATGATATTTTTAAGAGAGACTGTAAAGCTATTTTTGCTCTGTCCAGACAATGATAAATCATAACAGTAATGGAGATTGATGGCTCCTCAACTCATAATTTTTGGGATAATGAAGATGATAAACATGCCGGCTCAAAACAATCAGTGATACATGAACGCTAAACCACGTGGTAAGTAGATAAAAATAGCAAAAAGGAAAAAAGAGAGATTGAATGCCACAATTTTCTTCTTTAAAAGTGTATTTCATTTCCTGCAAGGTTAGAAGAAAGAGCAAATTGTTTCTCCAAAGCCCTTGAAGAGGTTTTGTGAATTAATGAAACATAAAAAACAATTTTTAAAAAAAGAAGAATCTAGATAACAAAACTACAAATTGTACTTAATTCATTTATTCTACTAGAAAACTGCATGTAAACCACTAGAAAAACGTCAAAATCAACTTGCTTTAGAGATTTTCTGTTTCAAAGAATTAATTTTCCCGCGAATCTTTCGCAAGCGGATGTTATTGTGATACAGGAAGTGAAATCGCACAAAGAAACATGTCAATTTTCACCCACAATTTTCCTAATATGGTGTTGGCTAAACATTTACTTAGGGCCTAGTGGAGGGGGATCAAGAGCTGAGAACCAATCAGCAATAAAGACCCCCCATGGCCCTGGTGAGGAGGGTAAGTCGAGCGTCCTTGTTGTCGGCCATCGAGAGTTTCTCTTCAGTTTGAAGTTTTCTTTGGGATTTTTCTGGAGATCGTGGGTTCTGATTGTTAAACAAAGCTGACTGGGGTCTGAGGGCCGTGGATCGAGATTTGTGATGGTAAGTTCAAAAGAAATGTGGTACATTTAAGTAATGTTTACGTTCTCGTTGTGGGTTTTTTTCTTCGCGATGTATGATCCTCGCTTCCAGTATTTCATCATTTACCGTAATTTTGGAGTAAATGAATGTGTTCCAAGAATTACTGCAACAAAAAGCTATCTAAAACTGTTCCTTAGAGGAGGATGAAGCTTCCTTTGACTTATAAACTGAGCAGAACAGCACGTTTAAGAATTTTCGGGAGATTCCAAGTGATACACTTGTTTGAGGCATGGAATAACTTGTACATGCAGTAGTGAATGTTCTTATCGAGAAAACATTATAATCTTGCTGTTCATTCACTTCACCATATCTTACAAATGTTCCTGAAGTTTTTTGTTCTTTGGAGATCACTGTATCCTATCTGTAAAAGGCTATAAAGCTGGATAAACGTCCAACTGTAACTTACTGACTGGACTAGATGTGCCCTTCACTCTGTTCAAATCACTAATTGTAATGTTTGTCAATGTAATTTTTGATGAGAATGAAGCTTACTTTAAATACAACTAGGTTATTTTTGAAGATAAGATTATCCAGTTGCTTTTTAGCGAGAATTTAGACCAAAAGATTGAACGATTGCTCTGAAATAGACGTGCTCTGTCATCTCGATAGAGTGTCTGCTCGTTTTGTTTACGAATGTCCATTCGAAGTTTTCGTGCATGCCTCGCTGTATAAAGCAGTATTCTCATTGAAGAGGATGCAAAGTCCTCTATACTGTTAAGTTGTAAAGGAGAATTTAAGTGTTATGTAGAGTTTACATTCCTTGAAATTGTGTATTTTTTTTGAACGAGGAAACTTTTCTCAAAAATACGTTGCACGACGTTTTCATCAAATCAACAGTCGTGGCAGAAGAGCCATGCTTGCACTGAAATGTGAAAACGGTTCTCTCTTCGTGATAAATCTTTGCAAAGCTGCTTTATTCTTCTGTTCTGGCTGTTGATTAAAGCAGCACATTTGGTAACCGCTGGTTCTATGACAAGTCGACATTCGAACTAAGGAAACTTGGGATAAGATCATCTATAATTCAAAGCAACTCCCTGCTCACGTCATTTTAGATTGCTCCAACTCGTTCCTTTTCGTTCTTTCGTCTTTCACCAGGCACAGTCTTCGGAGGAGCCTCCATTCTTAACGGTGGGGACTGATGTTAGTGCCAAATATCGCGGAGCTTTCTGCGAAGCCAGCGTGAAAGTCGTGAAGAAGCTTGTCAAATGCAAGGTAAGCTTACAGTGAAGTGAACATTGTGTTGGCTTACCAGGCACGAGTTTGATACTCGTGTATCCGTGTGGGTTGTGTTTCCTGTGCTTTTAAACTCTCTGAATATATTTATTTTTCCTTTTGCAGATAACGATTGCTAAAACAAATGCGTCCCTGACAGTCAATGATGATTGTGTAAAGGGCTCTTTGAAGGTGAATTTTCTTTTTATTGTATGGGTTTCAATGAATGTTCCTCTCGACAATTTCTTACTTCGGTTGCCCTCGTGTTGTTATGATACACTTGTCTTTGAGCACTTCAAAATTATTTTCTGAGGTTATTTCTCGTTTTTTCAAAGGTTGGAGCAGTTGTTGAGGCCAAAACTCCTGAAGGAGTGATGGAAGGAGTCATCACTAAACTCACCGATGCTAGTGTTTACACCGTTGGTAAACATCAATGATTTTTCTTCTTATCTGTGGTTTAGCTTAGGAAAAGAAACTTCCACCACACAGCTGAACCATAATAAGTTTCCAATTTCATTTTTGTTTACTTTTCTTTTTCAAGTTTTTGACGATGGTGATGAAAGAACATTGAGGAGAACTTCTTTGTGTCTGAAGGGGGAAAGGCATTTCAATGAAAGCGAGGTATGTAATTTAAAGAAAAATCATTATTCCGATCTGTTTCTTTCATTGTTAGGTCACTGATCAGAGAGTGTAAAGAAGAGTTACAAGCCTTTGTTTTTGTTTCCTTACTCTTTAGACTCTAGATCATCTACCTCTGACAGATCCCGAAAATTTTGGTACTCCAGTTGTTCAGGTATAGTTGAACTGCTAATAAAATTATTGTTGCTTATAAAAACTCCAGTTCTTATTCATGATCATATCATGATCATATCATTTGAACACTTGTTGTTCACTGTTTTGCATTGTAGATTAGACATTTTTATATTCTTTTTCATCATCTTATATAAGAAAGTCAATTTTCTTGAAATATCCACAACTTGTTCTCCCCTTGGCAATTTGTAACAAATAAAGATTTATTCAGAGAAGAGTTTGGAAGCCTAAAGTATTGAATCTATACTCATAAACATTGGTAATATCCAAAGGAAAAGAATGTTTTCCTATTAGTATACCTTTTGGACTTGATTGGAAGGTTATAAGACTGACAAATAACAATAATTCGCCTTGCGATCCAGTCGACAGTAACTAAAGCAAAATAATACCAGGTAACTGATTGGCATCAACATTTGTTAAAAGGTTGAGACATGCAAGGGCTAGAAGTGACAGGTGATAAAGCAGGGAGAATTCCCTTTGTTTTTTTTTCAATATAAATTGTCAATTTCGGGCTTGTTATTGGAACTCAATAAACACCTCATTCCAAAATTATGGCGATATTACTTTCGTTTTCTGTTTATGTTAATTAACCCCATTTGCCTCAGTTACATCTGCAGAATTCAAAAGATCTTTTACCTTGAAGTGAGACACTTTAGGCCAATTATTATGAGAAAAAACGAAAACTTAATTAGCCTGCATGTTGAAATAATGTGTATAAAGTAATTCCTTATTTTGAACATACCTTTGAGTATTGTTTTTGTGTCCAAATCATTTTTAGCAAAAGAGTACTGAAAATCATTGTTAAAGGACAAAGGTCAAAGGGTTTCTTATTTGAGAGTTTTTTGACTGCAACAAATTGATGTCTTCAAATGTGTTGACTTGTTGAGTGAAATGTTTGAATGATATTATTTCCCACTTAAACTTGTACATGATTGTCCCATGCTTGGATTAGCAAATCACTCAGTGATTTTACTATAAATAGTTATGGTAGACTGTTGTCCAAAAGATTTTGGCAAGAAGGCCATTTGGATTACTTGGGCATTTTTGGCCTAAATACAAGATGGCCTGAGAAAACAGCCAAAAGTTCGCGTGTGAATTGATGTTTGAGGAATGAGTGCAGAAATTCGAAACTGATGACTGGTCACTTCTCAGTTCCAGGTAGTGCTTCTGATTGGTCTTGCCGCAAGAGAAATTTGCTTCAACCAATCAAAAGCACAACACAGATCTAGGTATAGTGTCATGGCATTAGTATGAAATTTTCTGCACTCATTCCTCTGATATCATTTTGTGGGGAAACCAGTGTTGGCATTGCAAAATGTCAGCTGTTTTCTCAGGATAAGTACAGGACAAAATTGTTGCCCAATTGCATAGATGGAGCTGTTAAGTTAAAATGTGCTCACCAAAAGTTAAAAACTAATTGCCATCTTAGCTACCAATATCAAAAGACAGCTTAACTGCATCAGCATCAATTCAAATGTGATGTGCTTATTTTTCAGGATGGAAAGAAAAGGAAAAAGCGAAGATTAAGTCAGGCGACAAGGTAATATTTGTAGTTAGCTGTCTCTTGCTTCTTTAAAGCTCATTGATTCCAGGGTCAGTGTAGACTTGAGCATCCTTGATTGCCCTTGTCCTACAGTCTAGATATGCTCCAGGTAAACATGAAACCTTGTTGTAGAGAAACTGTATTTTTCACCTTTAGTCTTACACTTCCTGGGGCGACTTCTGACAAAGTAGAGGGCTGGGTGGTGCAATGGTGGGGGTACTCGCCTCCCACTAATGTGGTATGGGTTTGAATCCCCGACGTTATGCTACATGTTAGTTTGTTGTTGGTCCTCACCCTTGCACCAGGAAGTTTTTCACCAGGCACTCCAGTGTCCCCTCTCCACAAAAAAGCAACATTCCCCAATTCCAATTTCATCAGAGATATTAGGCAAAAAGCACCGTATGGATGTGCCACCTCTGAATCATTATTTATTATTTTTGTTTAATTTATTCTTATGGAATTCATGTTAGAAAGGGTAAGGTGTGTTGTCCCCACCTCCCCCCCGCTTCCTTGCTCTTCCTGTGCAGAGTTACAGTGCTAGCAACAAACCTGCCTGTTGCCAACGAGAAGGGAGAGTGGATCTGAAGTAGCAGCCGGTTTGTTACATCCCTTGAGGTTGCACCCAATAACAGAATTGTCTTGAGGTTTTTGCCGTCTTTTGGAAACGTATTTTATGTTGGTTTTCAGTCTGGATGACTCTGAGACAGAACGAGATGAACAAAGTGGTACTGCACCAGCTCCTTCAAAGAAGAAGTGTTTGTTTGATGACAGCATTGTTGGCAAGGTAGGGTCGATATTTCTGATGAAGTGAATATGAGTACAATTCGTTCAAAAATTACAAAGGCATTGTTATAAATTTAATTATTCCTTTGTTATGTTCATTTAGGTTGTTGTCGTTGAAAGTGGATCAAAAAGGAGAAACATGTGGTTTCCTGCTTTGGTAATGTGTTTGTTTATTCATCGGCTTGTTTTGCAAATTCTCGATCTTTTTACCCTTTAATTACAAGTCTCAGTTTCTCTTGTCAGTAATAATCGGCCTTTGATCCAAATTGTTAGAGTTATTGCACCTATATGTAAGTGAAATTGAATGATTGCACTGGAACTTCATCAAGAATGTTTTTGATGGAGCATGTGCTTTTTGGTCATTTGGTCAACATTGTTTTTGTTTCCTCAGGGGGTCAATCCTAGTAAGAATGAAGTTGATTTGATCAAGTCAAAAGATAAATGTCTTGTACGCTCATTCAAAGATGGGAAATAGTAAGTAATTAACTAGCAGTGATACAGGGTTCTCAATAGAAGGCGGCACCCGGCGATTGATCGCTGCTTACTTTGGGATTTATAGCCGCTTACTTTGTGTTTAAGTCGCTTTTCTTTGCTTTGTTTTGACACGTCTCGCTTTGCTGAAGAGCCTCCTACTTTATCAGTGATCACCTCCTACTTAAAAATCTATTGAGAACCCTGAGTGATACAGTTACAGTGAATATCTTGAATAGCTTTAGTTTTGCTCATGCTTTATGGCTAGTCATTTTATGCCTAGTGCATTTTGTTAATATCAGCTGTAAGCTAGGTTGCTATAGGCTTTCCAGGGCTCAAAATTGCGACTCACTGGTGGCCATTGCGACTAAAAATTGAGGACTGGTGACTATATTTTCCTGTGAAACTCACAAAACCTTGAATACCAGAAATATTTATGGAATGTTGTTGTGTTGTGAGAAATAAGCCAATAAGGCACCAGATAACTAAACCGCAAACAGCAACGGTAATTATTTTGTGGTTTTGAGGTGTGCTTGTATATCCTGAACTTTATTGTAATTGGCCAGTAGACAGTCAACATTCCTGAAAATTTTCAGATGTTCACAGTTTTCTGAGCTTGACAGTAATACCTGGTCATCAACGGGCGAGTCATGTTATGTTTCAATAAGGTAACAGCTGTTACCCTCATCTCTTATATTATTATATGGCATTGCGTTTCAACCTGGCAGTAAAACTAAGTAGCTTTCTGTGTTGTTCAGCAGCTCAAACACTGCACGAACAAAATTACAGTACTTGCAGTCTACAAGCACTGCCTGTAGGATTTTTTTAAAATTCACAATCCTCTCATGGTACACATACTAGGAAAAAAGTGCGGCAATGTGAACTGCAGTATTCTAAGAATAGATTCTATTAATACTAGTGTCAGTGACTTGTATTTTGTAATAAGTCCAGCAACTTACAATACAAATGAATGTTCAAATGATTCCTTGTGCTTTGCAGTCATGTTATAAATGTTAAGGATACAAAGGATTTTTCAAAGGATCAGGATCCAGTACATGCGGTACTGAAAGGAGAAAACAGGAAGTTAAAAGCAGGTATGGTTTGGGATACTCCACATAGCTCTACTCCATGAACATAGAAAACATTGAGGAGTTGAAGAACTTCAGCTACAGCCAAATTAGTTCAGTCAGTAGGCCAATTGACTGCAGAGTGGGAGGCCCAGGTTTGATTCCCGGGTCCGGACCAATACTCAGGGTCTTAACATAACTGAAAAATGAAGGTACTGCCTTTGCGTTGCAAACAGCAGGCTCAGATGACCATGAAAAATGGTGATCCCATCTCCAGTAGGAGATGTAAAAGTAGTGTCCCCAACTAGTACGTTTCTGCTAAATACATTGACACCCATGTAAAGTGTTTTTTTTTCTTCTTAATAGCAGGTAGTGGATAGGGTATAAACCAAAGCAGAGAGAGAAAAAAAAAGGAGTGAATCTTTTCTGTTCTGTGCAGTCAATAAAATTTTAGTTTCACCAGAATGTAAAGATGCTTGTCGAAAATTGACGAAAAGTACAGAGAAATAGATTTACAGCAAGAAGATAGTCTCTTAGTGTGTTCTTTGTGAATCCCACAATCATTGATTTTGCTGTAAGTAAAAACTATAAGATTTTGACTTAACCTTTGTAGCTGTTGAAAGAGCAATAACATATCAAGGAACAGGGAGGATACCTGGAATCTGGGAAGAGAATGCTTCAGATGTGATTGTAAATGAAGACAGTGAAGAAGATTCTAAAAGACTCCAGTCTTCAGAAGATGAGAGCAGTGTGGATGAGGATGATGAGAAGAAAGCTTTTAAGGAAAAGCTCTACACGTTCATGAAGGAAAAGGGTAGGCATGCTTTCTAATGCAGGGCTGGTATTAAGTTTATGATTATAGAGGGCTTTAGATTCCCAGACAAGGATGACTTCTAGATAAATATTTTCTCAATACAAACTATCAGTTTGGTGGCAAAATGCTATAGCCTTTTCACTGTACTAAGGGGTTTTAGCGAATATTTGGTAGTGACAGAAACAAGTTATCTACAGTTTTATCATTTTGAGATCGGCAAAGGGCTCAACTTCTTTCAATAAAAAATAACCGTGTAAACTTTTTTGGTGAAAAAAAGTTTTAAAATGAAGCTTTCAGCAGTGTCTACTTTGTGAAAAGTCCCCAAAAATAAGAATACAATCTTGCCCTCGTAGTTATCCTTGTCCTGAAATCTAAAGGTCTCTTATGGGATCTATCAGGGGAGTAGGGTGGCTGAGAACTTTTTCTTTTAACCATGTGATCTGGGTTCAAGTCATGGGTGAACACCTCATGTAGGTTGAGTTTCTTGTTGGTTCTCTTTTTATCCCTGAGAAGTTTTTTCCTGGTATTTTGGTTTTGTTCCCTCCTCAACAATTAACTGTTCCAAATTCCTTTATGTGTTTACATATTGCCCTCCAAATTCTGCTAAAGTGAGAGTTAATGATTGTAATTTTTTTTTGACATTGTCATTATTATTTGTTTTTATTTTAGGAACACCTATTTCAAGACCTCCAGTGCTTGGAAATCAAGATTTAGATCTTCACCGGCTTTATAAAATAGTCCAGGAACATGGTGGCATGGAAAAGGTGGCTATCAAATAACAGTTAACTAAAAATTAATTTCTGGATTGATTGAAGGGGTGCAAAATAAGGATGTGAAACTGATGTAATGTCAAATTCAACTCAGGCAATTTGAAGACTGTCTAATGGGGGGTTATGTAAGACTGGCAGAAAAGTTCTGTTGTGGGACAAACTAGATGATTTCATTTTGTCTTGAAGATTCCACATAAAACTTTTCATAGTAGCATTACCTTCACAAAAGCATTATTGATTTCAGAGGCCCTGAATTTTCCCAATACTAGATAGCCTTAAATTAGCTTTCAAGTTTTTTTTTTCTCCACATCAGTGCATTTTTAAACGGTTTTAATTCATGAGATTTCTTTAGGATTTTTATATGGTCACATGCGATTTGAGATCAGTCATGCAAAATTGCTACATGGCATAAATATCAGAAACCCTGAGGATAGAAGCTTAGAGAACCTAGTATTTTACCACGAGGTTCTTGGGGCTTTTTTTTTTTTCTCATGGGCGAAAAAGATCATCTGAAACAATGAGCTTGGCAAGAGGATCTGTGTTGGCTTGCAGAAGTTAGTTTTATTTAGCAAGTGTATTTATTTTGTTTTGTCTATTTTCATCAACATTCTAGGTCTCAACTGAGCAGTCCCTCTGGAGGAAAATTTATCGGCAGATGGACATTCCTGTTGTTCCACCAAGCGCATCACATCATATTAAAATGGCTTATAAAAAGTATGATGCATAGTACACTTGTCATACATGCCATTGTTCTTCCATCTGTATCAATTTTTTCTTCTTTTTCTTTTTTTTTTTGGCTTGATGCATAGTAAAAGATTTCATATATTGCCTTTTTGTTACTGAGTATTATTTGGCACGTGGATGTGTGTTGTTGAAAGCTCTGTTTCCTGCCATTGTTCTTTGTGAAAGCCATAGTTGCTGTCCAACGATCACTAGAGGATACTAATTTCATAGGAATTTCTTTAAACCTGCGAATAAAGTGTGTTATTTATTTATTTATTTGTTTTTTTAATTTTTTCACACTTAAATAATGAGTACTAAAACCACAAATTACTTTAAACCACTACAGATCAACGAAACGAAAAACATCCAAACAAATTTAAACATATCCTTAATAAGACTATTATCACTTCTCAGAATGTCCTCATACATGTATATTGCCAGTGGGAATGTGCTCAATATTGCATATCTCTTTTTTTTTGTTTGGTAGATATCTTTACCCCTTTGAAGTTCATGAAAAAGAAACCCTGAAGCCCTCAGTTAAAGAGGAAGTTATTGAAAGGAATTCCCGCGACAAAAATATCAAGCCTGAAAGTCCAGAGAGTCCTCCAGATAGCAGTGATGAGAAACACCTGGAATGTTTAGAGCCCTCGCTAGATATTGACGAAGATCATGAAGAGGTCATAGTCAAAAAACAGAGTACAAGGATCAAGGAGATGAAACGACAGCAAAGCCGGGACCTTGAAAACAGCATGCTTAGTGAGTCCCAGACCAAGAGCCCAGAGGAAGACGTGTCAGTTGATGTCGTCAATAGCCCCGAGTCCTCATCTGATGTTAGCGAACCACAGTCAGATAGCAAATCCGATATTCCTGTTGATGAAAATACTTTTGAAGTAGGTGATAAGATTCAAGTCAAGTATGGACGGGGAAGAAATCACAGGCTTTATGATGCCAAGGTAAGATATTCAACAGTAAAGTTTTACCATCAATTCTTGAAATGGCTCAAGAATTTTGGCCATGATTCAAATGTACGTAAAATTTTTAGGCCATCGTGCAGCCTTGTAGTGTGCGGCGAGAATCTCGCAAGAGTGTGTCAACTTACTTTTCAGTGGTACTGTATGTAGTACTTCCTAGAACTGCTGATAGTACAATTTATTTCCTTAAGCTCTAATTATAACTTCAATCTGTAAATTACTACTAGTTTCTTAAAGCCATCTGTTGCTGTTCAGTTCTACTAAATAATTATTATTGCATTATGTTCAGTGAAAGTAAACAGTAAACTTCTTTGAGCTGGCTTGATTTTGTGGGCAGATTGCAGCAGTCCTTTCGTACCCGAGTATTTTAGGTCAAGTTCAGACTGTCCTGAAGCATTGACTTACAAAATACGCACTTTAAACAGTGAAAGTTTAAAACCAGTACAGTCTATTAATCTACACTCTTTTAGGAAGTTTACTGATTGCATTCTTACAGTGCACATGTTTTATTTTAGATTATCCACATTGATTCAGAGGCCAATGAAGGGACACTATACTGCATTCATTACGCAGGATGGAATAACAGGTATGAAACATTATACATTAAAAATTCTTCAGGTTTAAATTTCATTGGATTAAGAAGAAACGACTGGGAATTCTTGGTTGCTGATAGTGGGGGTTCTTAGTTTATATAGAGGATGGGCGATAGCAATTTTTGTTTTTTTGGGGGGGAAGGGATCTTTTTCTGATGGGTCTTAGGGGTAGATTTATTGAAAAGTTTCCCAATGTGGCTGAAGGATGGGGGCTTTCAAATATTGCAAGGGAAAAAACCTTATATCACCATAACCCCTGTCGATACAATTATGAAACCTTCCCGAAATCTCATGTTGTGACGTGTGTTTCCTTGAAGGTATGATGAATGGATAAAACCTGAGAAGATTGCAGGCTGGGGAACCAGGCAAACCAGAAATAGAACTGGTAATGTCGGCAAAGTTCAAGATTCCAAGGCAACTCCAAAGCCAATGACACGGCCCACTGCTAAACCTGCAGGCAGACGGTCATCTAAGGCAGCAGCAGTAGTGCCGGCACCTGTCAAGGAAGTTAACACCAAGCAGTCACCAGCATCAAACATAACCAAGAATTCATCAAAAAGACCCTGTTCACCTTCAACAAGGTCCGGCTCATTGTCTCCATCTCTTGGAAAGTCATCTAAGACAAGCTCTGGGAGAGGAACTGCCCGCACAAGGTCGGAAAGGAACTCTTTGACAGAGACGTCAAATGGACTGGATGAAGGTATGGACAGGAATAATTATGATTCTCCTAGAAAAAAAATGTGTTTTTATATTATGTGTGTTAAAATCATAACATGATAATTGAAAGGAGCATTACGGTGTCTGTGTGTACAGTCGACTCCCGATAATTCGAACCTTCAAGGGAACTAGAAAAAAGTTTGAGTATTATGTAGAAATCGATCTGAAAGGAAATTGAAATTGCTTCGAGTTAGTGGGAAGTTCAAGTTATAGAAGGTTCGAGATACTGGGAGTTGACTGTACAATGTAAAAAATTTTCCCCTCTTTGAACTTCTGTTGAATCCTTATAAAAGTTAACTCCGATAGTCCTGTATTGTATCTTTCCATCGTGTAACGGTTGCCAAAATATAATGTACATGTGTTATTAATGCATATGAGCACTAGTAAAAATTTTTTGTTGTTCAACAATGCCTTTTTTCCGTTTTCAGTGAAAAGTCCATTATCAAGAAGGCGGCAAAAATCAGCTACCCCAGAACCTTCTTCCCTTGGTAAGATAAAAATTAATGCCATGGACACTATGCTATTCACAGTGCGTAAATTAAAGGAGCTTTGTTGTGGCTGTTGATTGCATTTTGTTAATAATGCCAATAAAGCATCCTTATTTCCAATGAAACTTGAGGAATTACTTCTGAATGACAAGTTCGCAGCTTTGTGTCAGACAAATTATTATGTCCCCCAGGTATTACTTCAAATGTAACTATTTAACAATGAAAATGAACTTTGAAAAACCATTAGGCTAACAAGTTTTCCAAACACCCAACTGCAATCTGTTTCAATCTTGTTCAAGTGTGTCCATGCATGTGTTCTTTTATATTTATTTGCCGTGTTATTATTTTTATCCGTTCTTTTCATGGTTTTATGTTTCACTGAATTTAATGGCGGTTCCTTCCTGAATTGTGATAAATTTTGTGACACGGCTCCTTTAAAAGCAGAACATACAAGCTCAACAAGTTATGATTAGATTGTCATTGCTCAAGTTTAGTTGTATAGTGATGGTGTGCGGTCTGTTTTTCCTGAAATGCAGGGTGCAAAGATAGTCAGTTTCACAGCTTGCATTTGGGCTGGCTGTAGCTAGCATGCACTGGCCCAAAAGTCATTTCATTTCAAAACTAGGGAGGAGGATTGATTACGGTTCTTCTGTAGTTTGAATTCTTCAAAAAACCACTTGCCCGTTGAGCAATTTAAGAACAGAATTCAGTAGCCTTATATCAAAATCCACTAACACTGGGCTATCAGACATGCATTTCTCTGCTCGCTGAAAAGGAGTGTCATAGTTGGGCCCATAATATAGGGTTAGATTGAACTGTTACTAAGGCTCTTAAATAGAGAATTGAACCCCATTTTGCTTTATTTAACAAGACTGCATCTGATCAGTTCCTGCTTTTAACATTTATAGTGGTTATAGGCTCTAACTAGTAATTAAAAGGTCTGTGTTTTCTCTCCCCCTTACAACATGGGTGTGTACACAGTCAACCCTACTTTTTACATAACAATGGTTAGCAGACCTTGTAATGTACTTACCCACCCTCTTCATGTGGGGGAGCAAGAGTGGCGCAGTGGAGAGAGCACTCGCCTCCCACCAATGTGGCCTGGGTTCAAATCCCAGCGTCAATGCCATATGTGGGTGGAGTTTGTTGCCGGTTCTCTCCCTTGCTCCGAGAGGTCTTTCTCTGGGTACGCCGGTTTTCCCCTCTCCTCAAAAACCAACACATCCAAATTCCAATTCGATCTGGAATGCACGGACACATTTAAACGAGTTCATATCAACTCTTAAGTGCTTTGTGGGTAAAAAAAGCAAAAAAGCAATGTCTTTTAGCGGCAACTCTTGTTGTGTTTGCAACTTTTTCCCTCCCTTACTTAATGTGGTAATATTGTGTAATATTTAACTTTTGAAGTTCCCTATAGTTCACATGCAGATGTCAGTACTTATTATAAGAATCATTTTTCCAGACATTGTGGGCTTAAAAGTAATCTTTTTTTCTTTCAGAGCAACAACACAAACCTGTAGACTTAGTAAACCATATTCAACCAATTCCTGAAGCTGTCCCTGAGGAAACTGATAAGAAAACAGCAGAAGAAAAGAACAATTCAGTGCCAAGCGGTAACATCGAGGAAAATCATAACAGCCCCGCTCCTTGTGAAAATGGAGTACTGTGTGAAGTTCCTGATGCAGAGCTAAAATCTGAGCAGAGCTCAAATAACTCCAGTGGGAAAAGAAAAGATAAGCATAAAAGAGTTGTTAATGGTTTAGTAAGGAGTCTTAGATCTCCCGAGACAGTAGTTAAAGATTCTGAAGACACCAAAGGATTATGCCCTGAACCAAAGAAGATAAAACTAGAACATGAAAGTACCATGCAAGATACAGAAGTAGCACAAATTATGAGCGATGGTACTTCAATTTCAACTCCTAGTCAACCGCCGCAAACGAAGGGTACCCCAACTGCTGTGGAAACTGTTTCAAATTCTTCGGAGGAAATGAAACCAAGTGTTGTTAATGATGCATTGGCATCAAGTTCAGGACAATGTGGCAATCACGAAGAAAAGGTTAATGCGCCAGTTGAGAATAACTCGATGGATTCAAATGTTAAGAGCTCTGAACATGATAAAAAGGAAAAAGATTGCAAAATGGAAAAGAAAAATGCTGAACACCATCATAGGAAACATAAGAAGAGAAAAGAGAAAAAGAAGCACCGTCACGCATCTGGTAATGATAGTACTGGTAGCGATGCTCCTGGTAGTCCTATGTATAATCAGCCCTTGGGGGTGTTTCCGTCCCCTCGGCGTCCAAGAATTTCATTTGACATGGATTTAGGTGAGGCTACAGGAATAAAAGTTCTTTCAAATTAATTTAAATACGTAATTACTATTCTCTTTTCTTATGGGGCCTTTCAGGGATAATGAAACAAAGCATTCTAAAGGAACATAACATGGTTAAGAATTCCAACCGGTAGAGGGCCAACCGGTTGCAAACAATTTCAATTTCATGTGTGGCCAAGGATCCTAGTTTATTTTGAGAGTATTGTTCAGAGTTTTTTGCAGTGTTGTTGCAGAATTGTGTGTGATTGTCATCATCATCATCATCATCATCATCATCATCATCATTGCTGAGCTCAGTTTCTTCAAAGAGCATTGTTCAAAGTTTTTATTGCCAATTATCTCCTTATATTATTTTCATGTGTCAATGTTTTCATTATTAATTTTTTCTCCCATTTCAGAGGAAATTAAAGCAAAAGAGGATGGTTGTGAACGAATCAAATTACTTCAGGATAAAATCAATGAAATGAGGAAAGTTTATAGTAACCTAAAAGCTGAAGTGGCGAGCATTGACAGGAAGAGAAAGAGACTTAAGAAGAAAAGAGGTAGGAGTTTTGTTGTTGTTTTGTTGTTGTTATTGTTGCAGGGTTCGCACAATCTTTTGTACGGGGAGTCCTTGAAAAGTCCTTGAATTCCATCTTTCTTTGAAAAGTCCTTAAAGTTCTGTAAAAGTCCTTAAAAAGTCCTTGAATTTTCTTCAGCCTTTTTACATGTATATCATGGCTGAGAGAAGTTAAAGGTGATTTACATAAAGGTTTTTTTTTTTTGCTTTAAGCAAGGATTAACTATCAATTTAAGACAAGGGAACTGAAAGTTGTAGAGAAGTTGGTGGAGCAAACAGTTCAAGGCTTAAAGTCCTGTTAGATTGGACCGGAAATGTGCATTTTTGTACAGTTTGTGAAATTACATTCCTACAGTAGCCGAGTGTCCTTGAAAGTCAAATGTGGTCCTCGAAAAGTCGTTGAAAAGTCCTTCAAAAACGGTTGCAGTTTTTGGTTTGAGCCCTCTGCTGGTGAAACTAAGTTGATTCAAGAATCTATGAGTTACCTTTCAAGTTTGTTGTTGGGGGAAATTTTGTCTTCTTTTTGTTTAACTCTTCATACATTACTGGTTAGCAAACAATACACCAAAGAGAAAAATTGAATTCCAATATATGTATTTATTTTTATGAGCCAAAGGGATTATGCATTAATGTGTTACTTTAATTTCTTTTAAAGAGTGAGTTTGAAGTTTAGTTTACTCACCTCCACTTCTCCACTGCTTTAAAACCTTAAAGGGGGGCTGAAATTCTAAGGTTTTACTGAGCAGCCTATGCCTGGTCCAAATGTTGGCCATTGTGATGGGAAACACACAGCAAATCAATAAAAATATTAAACATTGAAGCAAGTAATCAAAGAAAAGCATACTATGTTCAGCAAAAAATATACCAGCACTTGGAACATCAAAGGCATGGGAGCCTATGGCAAATTTGGAGGATAATTTCTTATATTTGTTATTATTTTTGTTGTATTTTTTTTTTAAATGAACAGAAGCAACAGAATCTATTGAAGGTCAGGATGTACACAAGTCTCTTCAGTCATCATCATCATCATCATCATCCTCACATGCTGTTCCTTCTCCCAGCGTCCCACCTGTTGAGTGTAGATAACAAGCATATTTTCTTGCTGCTGTATAAAGCTTGATTGTGAGTCCCCTTTACAGTCATGGTACATCTTATATGTTGCTAGTAATGCAGATGGAGTTGAAACACTACTTTTAAATGAGCCTTAACAGGGTGAAAAATTATTGCTTGTGAATGAGTAATCTTTTTATTGTATTCTTGAAGATTTTATCAAATAATATATCTTTTCTAATAAAACTATTAATACACTTTCCATCATGCTTAAACTTTACAAGTTTGACTTTGAAGGTTGCCTGCATGCTGGAAGGTATCTTTACCCTGTTTTATGGCCGGTTAAGAAAGTACATTTTCCATCCAAATTGCTAAGAGATGCATGGGTCCTAACTCAAGCAAAATAATTATTATTATTTAATGTGGATTTCTTTAATATTAATTATTGTAAAGTATTTGATGCAAAGAAATATTGGTTGTTGTACCAATAACGTTTTTATCTGTACTTGTAATTATATACTAAGAGAACAATATGTGCAATGTTAAAGAATCAACTCTTGTATTTACTGGGAAGTGATGTGTGACTTGCTACAGTGTTGCCTTGGTTACCACCAGTGAGCCAAAGATGAAGTTAACTCATCACCACCTGTTTCGAGTAGTATGTAGAAGCCTGAGCATCAAAAGTAGATTAGTCCGTTTGAACTATAGATTCTAGTCTCAAAAGGTCTCAGATATATCAGTGTTGTATCCTTCAACTCTATCGCATAGTCTTCATCAGCAGTGAACTCTCACTGTTGTCATGTGAATTAAAAATCACTGGAAGTTGATAACCCTTATCTCCATTTAGTACTCAAAAATCTGAGGCCTTTTGATACTAGAAACTATTTTTCAAATTTCAATAATGAGCATTTATGGAATTACCGGTAGATTATTCCGGGATCTTAAACAAAGACGTTTTAGCAACAGGACGGGAACGTCAGTTAACGACGGGAAAACGTGCAGAAAGGACTAAACACGACGTCCGGTGCTCAATTTGCCGCTCTGCCATTGGTCAAGCCAGTTGTTTGATTTGCACGCGCCGTCGTCAACTGACGTTCCCGTTTTGTTGCTAAATTAGCCTAGTATTTATGTGGTGAGCGGATGCTTCAGGGTGCCCGATGGCTTCTGGTGAATTTCTACCAGTAGACAACTATGATGCTATTATTTTCAGAGGAATACCTGCCCGACCACATCTAAAGCTTTTGGAGGTGAAAAAGGGTTATCTCTTTCTGTGTCTTCCTAACTTTTAAACTGGACTGCAAGTGTTGTAATATATTGTTGATGTGGTTGTGGCCCTCATTCAAGCCATGTTACCATCTTCCGCTGTTTCTGTTTAAAACTCTTTTGCTTGTTGAAGCCAGTTGTTTTCATATCGTGATAATTCTTGTCACTGTTTCTAAATACTCCCAACCCAGGCAGGTTGAAGCTTGAAGCCAAAAGTGGTCGTGTGATCTCCTAGGTTACGCGGCTGTGTGACATGACTCCCACATTCCTTTTATGTTGCAGAGTGCAATAATTAGTGACAATGCTCTGTCACTTAAACTGTAAATGATTGAATAATTTTGTTTGTATACATTTAGTCAGATTGTATTTCAGTCCAGAATCAGTTTATCAAAATAGATGTCTATTTATGAAGGCCTTTGGCGCTGCTTATTTTTTATTTACTTGATCCAAAAGAAACTGAAATACTCCACGGTATAAAAAGGTAAATTAAACAGTATTTTAAGCTTTTAAGGTGATCAAAATGTTTCAAATAAGTCGACCCTTAAAATATGTTCAAGACTATTTTTATCTTTATTACTCTTTTTGATCAAAAGGTCTTTTCTGTTTTCTTTCTTTAGTTTTTTTTCTTTCTTCTCTTAACTGTGCGAGAGGTCTTCAATCTATTTAACGTCCCCGAAGTTGTTTAGGCCAGTGTATGAGCTGAATATTTTTTATTAAACATTGGTCTTAGATCGTCGTAAGTTACATAAAGAGTTAGTTTGTGAATAGGAAGCCGTATTTGAGTAATATTTACAAAATGGATGCTGACCTTCGCTATTTTGTCTTAATATACCTGGGTAGAAAAAGGTCTTTAGTTCGCTTATATTTAGTTATATCACGTGACTTACAGTCTCTCGTTATCACTTGCGTAATATCCAGGACAAACATGCTACACAGATATCAACGAAAACGGGCTCATTCAGCTGGTGAAAGCAACGATAATTATTCTGGTAAATAACTATCTGAGCGGTGTAAAAGAAAGTTTTTAATGTATTCCTTACATATTCATACATGTACCGGTTAAGAGTAAAGCAAATTATTTGGTAGAATTGTTGTAAAGGTATTCCGCAGTGCGTGGGTGGCTACGTCAATGTGTTTGCAACATTTTTAAGCCTTTTTATTTTATGATGTATTTTAACAGTACCCTCATCTAATTTATTCCCCGTGGATTGTGAATAAAGAATTCTATGCTCAAAAAGTATTTCGACTATGTGTAAGGCTTGCCCGGCCCTTGATTTCCAGAAAAGTCATCAGCTTAAGCAAGAGAGAATAATTGGACAGAAGGGGGAAATTAAGTTATTTTTAGAGGTTATGATTAGACGGAATTTTAATTCCTGGGGCGTGCGCGCATTGATTGCCTCAAAGCAAACAGCGCAGAATATTTTAATGGCGACACACCAAGAGAGCAAAATGTTGCATTATTCTCCCTTAAGACATTGAGTAAAGGTTTACGGACCTCTCCGGAAGCCAAGTTCCCATTAATTTCAAGCGTTTATTGATCTAAAAACTAGTAGTAACCAAAGGTTACGGAGTGCGGACGACAAAGCGGGCGACAACGATCGAAGGTCAAAAGGCTTTTACGCCATCTCGCGCTGTGCTTTGCGTAAGTTTCACATGACAGATGGTCAAAACAAGCTTGATCAGATTACGAGTGATAGAAGGTCCAAGCGCGCGTGATCAAAGTGCGTTATGTGCATTCCATTCATTCTTAGTGGAAGTCCAAATGACTGCAGGCTACATACATGCGACGCATGCGTAACAACAACCTGGAGATTAGGAATGCGGGCTCCTCTTGTCGCCCGCAATAACTTCAGTGAAACCCTAAGGGCGTTTCCTTCTGTGTCCCGTTATTCTCTCTTGGCTTAAGATACTTTACTTTCTTAAAGTGTATGAAAAGCATTCAATTTCAATCTAGGCTGTCTTGCTACTCTGAGTACTAGACACTTCCTTGCACGTTTTCTGGTTTCTGTCAAGGTTGGCCTACACCGAAGATTTTTCCCGCCACAAGCAAGAAAACCCCACTGCACCTAGTGTACTATCTCGCAAGAAACGAAATAAGACCCTGGGGAAAACTTAGAGTGCGAGACAAGTGACATTCAACGGCGGATCCACAAGATTCAGGCCGGGACAATGCGCTGTTTATTTTACCGATAATTCTTTTTAAAAAATAATGCCAAATTTCGCAGGAAAAAGGGTGCGCGTGTGGCAGCCCCTCGAACACACCTTAATCCGCCCATGACATTAGTTCTTCCTTAAACCCGTTCCCGAGAAAACGGCTCGCCAGGAAACAAAAGTAACCCACCCAAACCCTCGAGTTATAAACATGTACACGGTGTAACGCGTGTTTCATCTAAGAGTGATCACGTGATCAACGTGGCTTGTTTGGGTGTCGGCTTTTCAACGATCTCACGTACCCAACATTTGAGCACGGATTAGGTCTACTCACAAAATTCTACTTTCCAGAGTATTATTGCTGTGAAACCTTTTGGTTAACAAGGCGTTTACCCTCTTCGAATAGATAAAACGACATTTCGTTTTTTGTTTTGTTTTTCTTGCTTTCCAGAATGAATCTGTTATGTTGTGGTTTCTTCTACGTGCCCTATAATAAGAACCATGCAGAAAACTTCCAGTGAAACCAGAAATTGAACGAGGCGCACTGTTGTGATTTCGAGACAAACTTGGGCGACAAGATTTATTTGATGTGAGCAAAAACCCTAACTGTCAGTCTGTGCTTGATTGGTGTGTTTTCGTTCATGTATCGTAAATATATAATTATGAGGTCACACGAGAAAAAGATGGAAGAGGGAGCGAGAGAAAGAAGGTAGAGAAATTCGATATCTGTTTGAATTCTTCTCTAACAGTCCTCCATCTGCGTTTTCTTGACGACCTCCGTTCAGCTTTCGTGCGGCTGTAATCCTTTACTACTCTACGAAACACTTTGGAGGTCGCTTATAGGTTTGATAGATTGTGCTAACATAATTTTTGCCATAATTCGTCATTACGAGGATACCTCTCCACTATTTTCCGAAAAAAAGAACTGCTAGCATTACAGTTTGCACTTTTGGCTAGTTTTGCAACGCAAAATTGTCAATTTTTGATCGTAAAACCAATTCTTTGGCCAGAGATTAAAGTTACGGGCAAATTTAAGTAACGACTGAATCAAATTTTTGCCTGCTTTAATATTGTCACATTCATGAGTCCTGGGTCCCGAAATGAAGTGACCCAGGACGGCGTCCGCGTTTTTTGCTGTTCCAGCGGTTTACTTTTCTACCTTCATCTATCGCTGCAAATACTTTGGAAGACAGTAATAGCCGAGGAAATCATAATGAATTATCACACTAGTGAAAAGGCGCTGGTTGTAAAGAGGGTAAAAGCGTTTGCCATTTAGTTGCTTGTTGTACATGTATAGTTAGTTCTGAGGTGTTTTTGCGAAATTGAAAGTAAAAAGTAGAGGCATAATTTCTACATTTTTTGCTAAAACTGGGGACATAATTTTCAAAAACAAGCATAATTTATATTGGCATAATTTTAGAAATATACGAGCACTGCTAGTAGCATATTCGGCTACTTTTGTGCGCACAAGCTATCAAAACCTAGTCGCTTAGGGGAGTTTCGACTGTTGTACGTACTCATATGATTTTGCTCACATAGACTCAAAAGCTAGAGGTACTGTTCATGGTCTAGGAAAGGGTAAAGAAAACAGCAGATATTTTGTTATAAAACGGACTCTGACCCGGATGTTTTGCTCGATTACAGTAAAAACGAATCTGCATTTTCACAAAGTTCTCTTTTAGCCTATAAACAGGTTCTTAAAAACTAGGTTATTCAACATTTGCTTTTTTTTTTTTACTGTACGGACGTTTTCACTCAACCACTGGCGTATCTCTGGCGCAGGGGCGGATCCAGGATTTTTTGTAGGAGGGGGTGCACTCGTCTCTTGCTCTACTTCAACACCAATAAACTTCATAGTTTTTTTTTTACAGAATACCAATTGTATAAGAAAACCGCAGGTCATATCGGGGGGGGTGCGCACCCCCTGCACCCTCCCCCTGGATCCGCCCCTGTGGCGTACCTGCGTACGTCGATTTCGTCGCGCGTTTTCAATCAAATCGTCGGTTTTTCAGGCGAAATCGTCGTATTGCATGAGAACGCTACTAGTGAGCTCAGTGCAACCATAACTACGACAGAAACGAGAAAAGAAGCGAAAAAAAAACTGCGTAACGAGCGCACACTTTTTGGAAGGTTTCGTTGCCGTCATTGTACACTGCGATCGTCGCTTTAAAAATCTAAGACCCTCATCTAAGATACGATTTCGTCGGAAATAGCCATACAGAGGCTCACTCACTCACTGGCTTTCTTTTAACCGGCTTGAGCACGACCCATTTTCCCGCCAAAATAATCCGATACTGCGGGTGGCAAACGTGAGGTTTCCCTCCATTTTCACCAGCTCTGAGGTGTATGTAACTAACCGCCGGTTAGAAGTTTTGTTGACCTGAAAGAAGACAAAATGTGTGATGGTCTATCTTTTCAACGACAAAAACAAGTACAGAAGACCGAAAAGCAAAATAAGAGGGCCAGTAAGAACGTAAGTATCGAATGATATGTGAGAAAGAAAAAGTTTGGCCTCATGATCATAATGATATAAAAACCAAGCTTAAAGTTTATGTTAAAGTTTAAAGTCCTGTGCATTTTTAGCTTATAATCTACACGTTTTGTTTGCAATAACAGAAACAACAGCTGGTCGAAAAGGCAATCCCAAATATTGCAGACGCCATTAAAACAGTCGTGAGTCAAAGCGAAAACAAGGATTTTAGAACAAAATGCCTTAACCTTCTCAAGGTTCGTGTTAAAGGGTCTTTAAGCTTATTTCTGTCTTTAAAAGCTACTATTAAAGCTTAACTCCTCTCAAAACGTCATCAAAGATTTCCACATTTTTGCAGATCAAAGATGAGAAAGGTTTTGACGACGTACTGACGAAAAAGTTGTGGAAGATCGCGAGTTGCAGATTGAATATCAAACCGGCCGCAGAAAGCGAAAGTCAGGTTGGAGCACTTTTTAAATGTTTGTTTAACAGATAACTTTTAGATCGTCTGTTGTTCTTACATGAAAACACTTTATTTCACTCCTTTTTCAAATTTATATTTTATGTTTCCCAGGCCGTACCAGAGGATGGAGCAAAAAATAGAGGGCACCCAACGACAATTTTCGGAAAAATATCTGTTCGGAAGACGATTTGAGATCTAGAATTTTCGGAACATTTGTTGTAAAATTTCTTGCTTCCCTGCCTCTCCTAGGATTTTCGAACATCTAAAAAGTGATAAAATCGCCCATTTTCAACGGATTTTTACCCTAAAAAGGTCACCTAGAATTTCGGGAGCCTTTTTTCTGGCTGAAATTTTCGAACAGGTAAGTTTTGATCCCTATAATTTTCGGATCACTAGACTTTCAGCTAGGAAATCCGAACAGATAAAAAATTAATAGGAGATAAAAATATGCCCATATCGACCGTTTAAATACTAAAACACGTTTAACAATGCTATGTTTAAGTGGTTTTGAACTATATTCTCGTTGGGTGCCCCTGAAAATAGGGAGTACTCCGAGGTAAAAGAATTATTTTCCGACTCCTTCACTTCATCACGACACACATTATTTAACTATTTAGTTCTCAAGTTGTTTTTAACATTACTAGTATTGTAACAATAGCCTGTTTCATAGTGTTTCAGATATTAGGTTGTGTCGCCAAATCACCAATTTTTGAAATGGCTATCTTTTTTTGTTCCAAGAAGCTGACAAAGCTTAGACCCTTCGGACAAAAATTTTAAAGGTGCCGACAAAAAAATGAATCTCAGTTCTCAAAGGGTGCCGAAAAAAAATTTGAGGGTTCGGATTCCAGTCATCTTTGTTTTTTCTTTGTTTTTTTTTTTGGGGGGGGGGGGGGGGGATAATAAATGGAACGTTTCCTTGCAGGCTATCATTATATGTATACTAAGTAGTTTTTCAATTAATTTTCGTATCTTTAAAGCTTCCAATAAAGAAAAATGCAGTAGACGAAGAAAGTGGAGAGGACTACTTTGATGATCTAGCTGGAGATATAACATTTTATAACAGTGATAACTGTATAATGATTGGCCGCCAGGCAAATGAAACTACGGATGCTTCATCAGAGCCGGACTCATCTTTTGAACTACTTGCTGAATTGTACTGGGATTCAGATCATTTATCCGACGAAATGCTCCCAGGAATTGCCCAAAATTCTCCAAATAACTATTTACAAGGCCATTCAGGAGCTTGTGACAAGGCACTGTGTGTGTCCGCATCGCAAGAAAAATCATATGAATGCACTGTAGATCCTGCACAGGAAACACAGTGCCCTCAGCAGCAAAGTACAGAAAAATGTTCTCTTATAAAGGAAGTGACAGATCTTACCAGTCCTAAAGCTAAGCTACGATGTTGTAAAGATGCATCAGAACCAACTGAGGCAACTACAGGATCAAATGACTGGCTACAAGAGTTTAGCCAGGACTGTTACTGGGTTGCACACAAAAATATACCGGAGCAACAGGAAGCAAAACAATCCACAACAACAGAAAATGCAACATTTAGAGCCTGCTCAGAAGCATCTCTTTCATTTGTCAGTTTATCACAAACTGCGCAAAGTGCAGATGACTTTGATGCCCTGGCTGAATTCTCAGTTGGCTAGACCTCCATAAAATCTGAGTACAAAATTATCACAATAATAAAATTATTATAATAATATTTTTATAACATTATTTCTCCTAGTGACAAAAGTGAGATTTGAATATACCTAGTTCCATTTCATTATAACAATTTATTATCAAATACTATGCACAGCAGTATTTAATAAATCACAAATATATTACATGTGATAGTGATAGCTCCATTTCATGAAAATAGAAAGGAGTTATTGTCGTGTTGAGCAAAGGTACTTAATATCTTTTTGTATTATTTCCGCATTTCTGTACAAAATTTTAAATTTGCAAAATAATAATTGAAGGGTTTCCTGAAAAAAGGGCATAATTTGCTTAATATCAATAACAAACAAATTACGCCCTTTTTCCAGGAAACACTTCAATTAAAATGCTTTAAATACATTTCTAATAACACTGACTCTCTCCTATTAAATGGACACCTAGAGATATTGACTCTTTAAGGTCAGACACTTCACTTAGATAGACACTTAATTCCAGTCCCAAAACTGTTCACCTTCCTCTATCTTATAGAGAGATGACTGTATTTAAGTGATAGTACAACAGCATCTCTAGTAACAAGCCTTGTCAATAGACGTTTATAAAGTTACTGGCATATTTTCTCTCTGATTCAGAACCTGAGAAATCATAAAAATGGAAACACTGACCAAAATATAAAATGTTCAAAATCATACTATAATTTTGAATTTCACAGGTAGGCTTTCATACGAGTAGAATATAATGGGCAACAGATTGTGTCAGGGAAACAGGCTAAAAGTGGTAAGCCTGTCCTCAGCTTCCTCCCAATTTTATTTCACATTTTCTTCTGTTTTAAAATTTGCACTGTGATTTTTAAATCAATTTTCCAAACATATTTATTTCCAAGGCCACCAGTAGCAGTTGACTAAACTGTTGAAATGTTTCTGACAATTAACTCTCATCAATCTAAACTCCCATTTTTTTAGAAAAAAAACTTTACAAGTACTTTTAGTTAAACAAAAGCATTGATTTTAAATCTTTAATTGAAATTTGATAATATGTATTATTTTTAATAAACAATATTATTTCATAGAATCCTGAAAAAAAATAAGTTCTTCTGTTTTCAACTTGAAATTCTAATTAAATAATTTGACCTACTCCACTGATTTGTGACAATACACCAAGGAAGATTCCAACAACACAACCAAGTATTACTAAGAGCTGTAAATGACTGAACAGAAGATCTTTCATTAACAATTCCACTCTATTTGAAGGCACTTCTTCTTTCCTCCTTGTTGTGTAGCTTTTAAGTTCTTGTTTCAGGGTTTTAATGCCTTGGTCCTGTTAAGAAAACATACTATTTTCAAGAAATCATATCTCAAAGTTGTTTCCACAACAAAATTAATAAGGAAAGTTTAAGCAGGTTAAAATATAGCCTTCATCACAGACAAAATTTAATTACGGTTAGTAACATCTGCGAAGTGGCACTGAGATCCTTGTTCTGGACCTCCAATGCATTCAAGTGCCTTTCAAATTTCTTTTCATCCTGATTGGCAAATCAACAATGGATTTTTTAAGGGACCAATCATGGTGTGTACTCAAATCCTGGTACACAGGTGGGGGCCGGACCAGAACAAGGATTCTGGCAATTAACCAGAGTTTAGTTTCAACTGTAGTGCAGGCTAGTTAAGATGTAGTATGGGATTGTTTGCAATTGACCACCAAGAGGTTACACAGACTTTCAAAACTGTTTTCCACAAAGTTCAATCTCTCACTATTCCTTTCCCATCCCACCTGTCTCAATGCCTTGGAGAATAATGATTGAGGGATTTTTTTACTATCCATGGCCATGACATTATTCTTACCCACTGATTGTTAAATGATTTCAAAACTTAAAAGAAACCCTACGATTTGCTCTTAGCCAACCTAAAGTCAGCTTAAGGATGCTAATACAGAACAACCCCAACACAAAAAAAATGTCGGAGGTATGATGCATGACTCCTTGGCCCCAGTGACAATAACATGTCTGGGATAAGACTCAGACATAACATAGTCTGTTTTCAAAAGTAGGTTGAGTTTGATTCTCTGGGTGAACGTAGTCCTGAATAGGACTGTTGTTGTTAACAGTGACTGACGTTTCGACAACCTGTGCGGTAGTCATCTTCAGAGTCAAACTCAACCTACTTTTGAAATGACTCCTGGGTTCAAAACTTTCACACATATATAGCCTGTTTTAGTGAATAGCTCTTACCAGGACCTTTGCTAAATTGGGCTTCGACCAGCTTTTTTGGGGGCAGACCAACCCAACGGGGATAGGTATAAATCAGATGTAGAGGTCCCATGAGGTGCGATCCAGCGCACATTACAAACGATGGTCTCCTTAACATCTAGTAGTGATTTCCAGTCACATTACGGAACAGCGCTTGTAGATCCATGTCGCCCGCAAAATCGCGGGTCCCATGACTATTTGCGCGCTCACAAAGGAAGCCGATGCATGTCGCGTCCTTTGATTCAAGACTCAAGTGTTAGGGTATTGTTTCCACGATACAAAGGTAATTTAACTTAAGAAAATCTATAGATCGAAGCTTTCGCGCTACTCTCTATTTTATAAGGAAATGAAAACACTCAACTTGATAAATATTTTGACTTCATACGATATTTTAACGATTTAGGCCAGCAGAATGTATAGAATTCTAGAAAAACAATCCAGGAAGCCGAACGGTTTTGAACAGCGCTAGACGTTGTTTTTATCGGTATGCAAATCACCTACCCAATCACTTACTTTCCATCGAACTGAAATATCCTGACTTTTTTTTACCACTTTTTGATTTGATTCGTTTCATTTTGTATTATTTTGTGCAAGTTAAGCCCTTTCATGCCAATTTACGCTTTCAAAAGGAGAAAAACTTCGAGGAAACATTGTGTTTACAACCACGGCAATTTGTATCTATTTCGCTTCACTTACGCTTATATGCAAATATCTGCCGGATTTCGCTGGAGACAAAAATATCGATTTTGAATTCCCAAATGCTTGCCTTTTGGGGCACCCTTATTATTTTGGCCATCAAGATTTTAAGAAACGGTCCAGATAAGAACGATAGCAACAATGGCAACAAACATGTTGGAATGCAAAAAAGGTGCTAACTTTTCTATTGTCTGTACTTACTTCTGATTGGCTTAAACAGCAAAAGTTAACAAAACTTCATAAAGCAGTACATATATTCATCCTTACTTTCCAACCATCTTCCATATAACAAAATCTGGTCTCAGTTTGAATAACAAAGAAATCCTATGTGGGGAACGAGTAAAATTGTAAACTTTTCTTTGCTATTGTTTTCAACTCTTGTGATTGGTCAAAATCTTTTAACACAAAAAAACACCCTTTCAAAGTGGAGTGTAAATGCATTTTATTGCGTAAACGGACTTCATGTAGGTTTATGCATTCTCTGTGTAAAAATGAAAACATTCCTATGTGGGGAAAGCACCGTTGCCGCATAACAAAAGAAATTGCTATCCACCTTACCCAGATCATTACTTAAAAGCTAAGCTTCAGACTTCATTCCAACGTTTTAATGCGGGAAAGTTAGGAGAATTGCTGCAACTGATTTAAGTCACGCAACACGCTTTAAGACCGCATAACTTGATCTTTCTGTTATCTTTTGTTCTTCTATTGTCTCCAAAACAATAACGATGTTTCACCAATTTCCACCTACAAATAATAGGACACATTTGATTGACAGAAAAATTTGCATTTACTAGCAATGCGTTTCTACAGGCGCGATTTCGTAATGCAATAGCAACATCCAAAGTTTGAACAGGTTTAATCATGTAAGATCATACTTTATACTTTCCCACCTGACTATAGGATGTAAATCTCTCCATAAGTACAGGCACTACATCAGTCAAAAGATCTACTACATAAGGCTTCACCAGTGATCTAAGCGATGAGATTTTTATACCAACAGAAGACAGCAGCTGCCCTTCAGGTGATGATGCTAATGAGTGCAATTCAGTGGTTATAAGTTGATCTACTGTTTCAGACTGTAAAATTCTCTGCAAATGTCCTTCAATGTTCAACCTAACTATCTGATGATTTAACTTCTGTTTGCTGTAGAATTTTAAAAATTCCTCGTCAAAGAAGATATCAATGACTGAAGTCCTCACACTTTCACAGATGTCCTGATAATGACTGACGATGATTCTACAAAAAAAGCAATAAATATTGTAAGGTAGTAGAGAAAAATGATATATTATAACGAATAATGAGGCAAATCTCTAGTGCAAAAAGATAAAGGGGCAAATGAAAAGCTTTGTCTGGTCTTGAAAGTTGAATTCAGTGATTCAGTTATTCTTAGTATTCTCAGGCTAGACTGCCAGTAAGGCGTGGGTTGCTGAAAAATTATTATAATAATTCTGCATTATGTACATTAGTTTAATCTACAGGATCAGATAACTTTTTTATGAGTTAGTTGATTTTATGACAAAATCACTTTAATTACATGGGTTATAAAGTTCTATGGAAAAAAGGGAAAAAATGGTCTTAAAATGAAGGCTATAAATTCGTTATTATCATTGTTTGTCCATAGAGCTTAACTTGGTTTTGAAATATCTGGTGTCTGCTTAAGAAAATCTAGGCTTTGAAAAAATTTGTGCGCTATAATTATTCCACATATTTTGACGAACCACATCCCATAAAAACAGGGCTTTGCATTCAATAGAGATTGGAAGACTGAAAGAAAACAAAAGGTTTTAATGGTTCCAGAAACACTGAATAAATGTCCTAGCTTTTAAAACAAACTTTTTATCCATCTTACCCAGTTCCATAAAGACCAGGAATCTTTTTATAAAACAAAGTCACTGCTAAATAATTTACACAGCCTCCTGTAAATCCAAATGTGCCACAGGAAAATAAATAGTGAGCAATATTATACCACAGAGACGGACGTTC